TAGAGTAGAGTAGAGTAAAGTAGAGTAGAGTAGAGTAGAGTAGAGTAGTAGAGGATGAAAATCTAATTTATCTGACTGTATCGAAATTCAAAGAACCAAAGTTCCTAGCGTTAGAAACAAAAATTAATTATTAGCAAAATGTCTTAAATCATAGTTCGAAAGAAAAGTATAGAGTATATATAATTACCATGGGCAAATTAACATTACTAAGTATGTATTTGACCCTAACCTCTGGACTAATTTCTGTAATTTCCTTCCTCGCAGTCCTTGGTGTACTAGGCAAACTACCCCGGGGGGTGTTACCCCCCACCCACCTGAAACAAAAATACATTTTATTATCAACTCTCTCAAATTTCATTTTTCAATTAATATTTATTTTATTTGACTTGCAAATTAAAGTGATGGGTCGTTAATTTTTTAAAGAAAGTACAATTGTCGTCTTATTTACCAATACAATAACAATACCTTTCTATTTCAAACTTTTATTTCTACCAATATTTTAAACAGCAGAAACACACAGATATGTAAACTTGTAAACTTTTAAGCTTTAAAACTACTTGTAATTTGAAAGATGCTTGTTGGGGATTAAAGCACTCTTGATGAAAAGTCGTCTGCATTGTATTGATATCATCACCGACCACTGTATATACATGAAACTTTAAATAATTACCCATTTACAAGTGGGCCAACCAATTAAAACAACCTACTCTGGTTAGGCGGGTCCAAACTACATAATAAATTGTGATTTTTTTATTTGTATTATCTCGTGTTTTGAAGTTGAATAAAATATGAAAAAATATGAAGCTGTTTTTTGGTTAAAATACTGCCTACCCCCCCCCCTAGTCATAATAAGTGCTAATACTTTTAATGTTTCCCTTTTCAAATTGTTCAATCCCGCTATTAAATATATGAAATATGATACCTTAGGTGATAAAAACTGCTGAATTATTGTTAAATAACTTTTATTCATTTTTTAATGGGTTATTTAAAAAGAAAAAAATATTCTCTTATTAGTCTATTGAGGAGGGTGGGGTGTAGAGACTGGAGTGCTAAGGAAAAGAAGTGGGGGTCAGGAACGGGAATAGGTGATCAATTAAAATACGTTCAATGCACTTTTAATTTTGACATCCTTTGTTCCTTTAAGTCAGTTGTTAGTTATTTAATAAGCAATTTAACAAGAAAAATGTTCGCATAGAAACAAAAAATGTTTATAATCATATTTGATAAAAAAGCACATAGTAAGTGAGAAAAGATAAGATGGTCTACCGATTGTTCCTCTAAATCAATATTTATACTTGTATTTACATAGTTTTCCATGTTGATTATACTAGTATATATATTTAATGCATTTATCTTCTATATCTAATAGCAAGATCTCGCAATGTCAACAAAACAGTTACAGATTTTTAACGTTTATGCATGTTATATCAAATAATCTAAGTTTGAAATATGAAAGGTNGTATTCCCAGTTTTATGAGACTAAGTGTTCTTCATAACAATGAGGTGATATCTTGAACTTTCTGTATTTATGTGAATCGTTTATGGAGTCAATGAACGGAAATTTTAGGTAAAATGCGTTAAAACACAAATAAGTGTTTAATAGATGATTTTTTCCTCTTCTTACGGAAAAAGTGCTTATAAAGCAATGCGTAAATACAATTTTATTCGATGAACAGTCAACCCGCGAATTAAACTTTTTAAATCATTTGAAAGGGTTCATTTATCCCTATTAGTATTGTAGGGAAGTTACCCCATTGAAATAATAACAATTAACCAAGAGCCTAGGCTTTAATCACAGATTATAAACGCTTAATTGGCAAAAACTTTAATTGATGTTAAATTGTTTAATTGCAGAAGAGGAGAGGAGTAGGGCTTAGAGTAGAGTAGGGCAGAGTAGAATAGGGCAGAGTAGAGTAGAGTAGAGTAGAGTAGGGCAGAGTAAAGTAGGGCAGAGTAGAGTAGAGTAGAGTAGAGTAGAGTAGAGTAGAGTAGAGTAGAGTAGAGTAGAGTAGAGTAGAGTAGAGTAGAGTAGAGTAGAGTAGAGTAGAGTAGAGTAGAGTAGAGTAGAGTAGAGTAGAGTAGAGTAGAGTAGAGTAGAGTAGAGTAGAGTAGAGTAGAGTAGTGTAGTGTAGAGTAAAGTAGAGTAGAGTAGAGTAGAGTAGAGTAGTAGAGGATGAAAATCTAATTTATCTGACTGTATCGAAATTCAAAGAACCAAAGTTCCTAGCGTTAGAAACAAAAATTAATTATTAGCAAAATGTCTTAAATCATAGTTCGAAAGAAAAGTATAGAGTATATATAATTACCATGGGCAAATTAACATTACTAAGTATGTATTTGACCTCATTTTACTAAATGAATTTTAACTTCAAAACATTCCAAAGCTTTCAACAGAAAAATATCAAAACTTTAGATGTTCAATTTCTTAATCAAAAGGCTTACGTACAAACAATTGCTTAGTAAAGGTTCATGCTTTTCATTAATAAAGTAGTGAATATGGTAAACTTTTTTTATTAGGTCAGTTACTACTTGATATTTCTTGAATATAGCATTTTCAGAATTTAAAAGAAAATTAAAGTTGCTGCTAGCAAAATAATATCATAGTAGGTCGATACGATTATTTAAAATTCATCCTCTTCTAAGCTTTACAGAATACATGCATAATGGCATGGGCACGTGATGTGCATCCTCTCCTAAGCTATACAGAATACATGCATAATGGCATGGGCACGTGATGTGCATCCTCTCCTAAGCTATACAGAATACATGCATAATGGCATGGGCACGTGATGTGCAGTGTGCACCAATAAAAGTAAACTGTCCCAATAATTTGAGTGTTTTCAATACCTCGCGGGACGACAATGCTGTCTATTCAAATTGTGAAAGGGATATAAAGTTTCTTGAAAATAATCCCCCCTCCCCCTCCCCCTCTACTCCTCTTCAAAAAAAATGTTAAAAAAAATTTGGTTTTAATAATTTAATTAGGGAAATGAATTTCCCTCTGCAATTTCTTTAAAGTGTGACAAAGTTCCACATCAAAATGTCAGCACTTTCTTATGATGGACAGGGAGCCTTATTTAAATTGGTGAATTATGTCTTCACATTTACAATGAGGGAGGGGGGGGGGGGGGGGGGGGGGCCAACGCCCCATTCCTGACTCACTCCGCAAAATCCTTATTCTCTATCTATCTATCTTTCCCTGGTGGTTTTTATGCAAAATTCCGCGGGGTGGGGATATAATCCAATGCTATGGGATAAGGTATAAGGGATATAGGGTGGATAATGGATACAGGGTCAACCAGAAAGGATGAGACTCTAAAGACGAACTGAAACTCTTTAAATATGACGATTCCGAGGTTAAACAACGTCCTTTACCTTTAGTAGTCTTTCAATGGCTTAGATTAAGATTTGGCAAAAAAAAGTGTACATTCGCAGGGAAACTGTAATATAAGATAACGGATAATATACAAATTCCGTACAATCCTCTCTAAAGTCTCGTGTTTTGTGGGTAACCCTGTAATAATAGTTACTGCAAACCCAAAATTGTAGGGTAGTAGTGAACAGTCTGTGGTTTTCCTCGTGTTATATGAAAGGAATCCATTTCCCTTTTAATACAGTATACCGGTCCTAAACCCTGGATATTATTTTACTAATATAAAGTATTAATCTCTGTTTGTTGTCTGTTTATTTATTTGTATAGTCGATCATATCTCAAACCCTGGATATTATTTTACTAAAATATATATATAAAGTAGTAATCTCTGTTGTCTGTTTGTTTGTTTGTATAGCCGATCATATCTCAAACCGATTTACTAAAATATATATATATAAAGTAGTAATCTCTGTTTATTTGTTTGTTTATTTGTTTGTATATCCGATCATATCTCAAACCGATTTACTAAAATATATATATATATAAAGTAGTAATCTCTGTTTGTTGTCTGTTTATTTGTTTGTATATCCGATCATATCTCAAACCGATTTACTTCAAATCTTGATTTGTGAACTAGTTATTAGTTCATGGTTTAACATTACAGATTTGTGAACTAGTTATTAGTTCATGGTCTAACATTACAAATTGAGTGGGCTCACTAATATAGATTAATATAGATTATCCCGGGAAAGCTGGGTTCCCTGTATAAGTCAACGTAATCAACCAAAAATATCGTTAAGTTAAAACGTACTTTTACATTAATGAGAATCTATCTTTCTCTATAGGTTAATTTCTCAATTTTATGCAGTAGTTTTGAATTTAACTATTTAAATACAAGAAAGCGAAATTATTGTCAAAGAAGCAAACAAGTAAAATCAAGCCGAAAGTGTCCACTGTGCAGTTCTGTAGCATAGACCAATAGGGATTGTGATGTAAAAATATTTTCTTTAATGCAAGGATATAATGTTGCATACAGATTTTATCAACAATACCCTAAATGTAATGAATATCTACTTCTTTGAACTAAACAAAAGAAGAACTTGCAGTAAGAACTTTTAAAGGATTTAATCGAGGGGGTGTTGGGAAAACATAAAATGTATGTACAATGTACATAGTTTTTAAAATCTTTCCCGTTCTATTAAAACTTAAGTGTTAAGCTATCTCTGTATCACAACTTGCCGTTTTAGCAACAATTTGGCAACATTTTTGCAAAATATGCATTTTCAGTTTATTTAATCTTGGCAAACAATTCAATTACGCTGCAATTCATGATTTTGGACACGACCAACCAAAGACCATTTTTTCCATTCCTCACAACTTTTATCCACTGTGGTCACTTTTGAATTTTAAGCAGAATTCATACATGATCTCTTGATTTTTGACTTTTTGTGTTCTCTCATTGGCAAAATTCCTTGGCTTCTGATTGGCTGTGGATATCAAATAAAGATTTAATTAGTCAGTAGATTATCAAAAGATTAAGATCAATACTTGATCTCGATATCCACGATTCAAGAGTTCCCAGCTCAGAAATCTTATCCAAACCCCCTTCCCAACTGAATTATTTCTGTAGTATGCTAGCAAAACCCAAGCTGTTTTTGTGCCAGGTCTGAAATGCTGGGCTGGAACCAATTTGCAAAATTTACTCAATATTTTCAAATTATTTTCAGAATTCATCAAATAAAGTCTTGAGGAATAAGAGTTTAAGAGACGAATTAAAAGTTTAGGAAGCGGTCAGGATTTCAAGGATTGGTTTTAAGAGACAGTCATCTCAAGACCATATAGTTGCAAACATTGTACACGCATTGCGCACATTGTTAATTTGCAAAAAGTATATATGTATATATATATATTTAAACAGAAACCGGCCTTTTTAAGGGCCACCGGGTGCATGTTTTTTCAGAATGTTTATTAAGAGTATAATTGCATGCTTATTTTATTTTTGCTAACACAATTTCTTAGTTAAATGTTTTTTTTATTATTGAATAAATATTAACCTTTAAATACTAAGCTATAAACATTATTTAAAGCAGTTAAATAAGTGATTAAATGGCTATAAATCTCTTATCTAATCAAAATTGTTAAAAACTAAAAATATTTTATTAAAATTTAATGAATGAGAAGGTTAAAATTATAAATATGCTGAGCAGCATATTTAAACTATTATGTTGAGGATTTTTGGGCATAGGTGACATTGAAAAAAAGGATTCATCATTTCGATGTAGCTAACAAACAATTAGTAAACGGCCGGAAATAAACTGATATATTTATATTTTTATGAAAAAGAAAGAATATAAATCATGGATGGACCAAAAACATTTTCGTTTTATACAAAAAAAATGTTAAAGGGACTGTAAGCGTAATTTCAAATGATTCACAACGGTACCCTTGAAACCTTTGACTGTTGATCGGATAGAGATATTTCTGTTAAAACATATCAAAATGCACTTGAATTCCTTACAACAGTCGCTGTGTAAAGTCTGAACTCAAACAGCTGATCTATCCCTTGCGTGAATCGACTGTTCTACCTTAACAGCGTTTTCTAACATTCAAAAGTAAACTTTTATTTTCTCCCAGTTGTAGAAAGTAACTCTTGATATTTGTTTTGCAGAAAAATCAAATTTTCTAATCTGTGAAAAGGTTGGTGTAAACCTTTCATGTTTGACCTAACAGAATTCATAGTTTGAAATATCAGGTTGCAAAGACATAAGGATTGAAAGATCAGAGTTTTTGGCAAAGACTCAATTTTTTAGCAATTAAATGCGTTTCAGTAGATCCATAATCAGTGAAAGATTTAATGAATACTGTTGTGACAATGCTCCACTTTACATGGAAGGTCACTTGACATGTTTAATAACGTGCAGTCCCTTTATACTGATCCATTATTTAATGATTGTGGTTCAACCCTTACACCTTATATTTTTAATAACGTGCAGTCCCTTTATACTGATCCATTATTCAATGATTGTGGTTCAACCCTTACACCTTATATTTTTAATAACGTGCAGTCCCTTTATACTGATACATTATTCAATGATTGTGGTTCAACCCTTACCCCTTATATTTTTCGGAGACACTTTCTGTTTTGAATCGTTAAATTATGAACATGTTAATAAATGAACACAAATCATTCAGAGGCCGAATTTAAAGAATTTGAGCCGTGACTCAAATATGGTTGGTTTCCCTTAAAATTGTATTCAATATTTTAAGATTTAAGGCGGAACTCAATTAAAACCGGTTTTTGGTGGACTTGAGACGCGGCTCAAATTCATTAAATTCGGACTCAGATAAATGGAAGATTAAAAAAATCAATGATGAATGAATGCGTGGGGAAAAAACGTAAGGATGGATTGAATAATCAAACATAAAAAATTAATAATTAAAAAGATAAATTAATGAATTTAAAAGGCTGATGTTGATGTACATCTAAAATCGTAAAAATGTTAAAGATTAGAATAGTTTAATGAAAGAAAAATTAATAATATAACTGGAAAAAGGAATAAAGGGTTTAATAGCTGCTTACCGGTAGGTTTGGAGGGATAAATAAATGAATGGATTGATACCAAGATAAATGGATAGATGGGTAGATTGTTATAGAAGGATGTTTAGGAGGATAGGATGGGTAGATTGGTTGTTAGATGGATAGAGAGATAGAAGTATTTATTCTCCTGTATGCATATAAAGATTGAATAGATACACTACCATCCGTAATTTTATAGCTTGCAATGCTGCCCTAACTGAGGAAGGGTGTATGTGGGGGGGAAGGGTGTAAAATAATTAATCGAGGGGTGGGGTGGGGACAGGATAGTTAAAACCCACCTTGACATAGTGTCAAGTGACGTCACAGATGAGGATATTGTGTACACTAAGCACTCTGTTCGCCTGCCTGAATTCTACTGCCTGCATTCCATCTTGGGAATGGGCACCACCACCACTGCCTGAGTCATCTTAGTCTGGTATATGGACAGACCGGGGCATCGTATAGACCAAAGGATTTACAGTCACCGCTGCAACCCGGGCCAGCGTTAAAAAAAATCTGAAAAAATCACAAAATTTAATTTATAAAACAATTTGTGTTTTCAATTTTTGGGTAAAAAAGCAGATAAAATTGGAATTCCGCCTAAGGCGTCAAAAAAATAATTTTATCTAATCTTGGAATGCAAATTTTCAAAAAGCTGAATGTATAATGAAGCAGATTAAAAAGCTTATAAAATAACATTCACTAATTACTTTACTGAAATAAGGAAATAAGTTATATGCAATAAAACTTACAAACAATTTCAATCAATCAAATAAAAGAAGAGTGGTTCCATATTAAAAAACATTTGTTAAAATTAGACCATGGAAAGTGAAAAAAAAAACTTTCGCAAATTATTTTAACCAATTTGATAAAATTTTAGATTAGCAAAAAGGATGTTTTGAACTGTGCAAGTTGAAATCTAGTTTAGCTCACTATTTTAAAATCAGAACACTATTTCAAAAATAAATTTTCGCATTTAAAATATAAAAATAATTTTTTTTAAGTAAATCAACTAAATTTTTGTTCAAACATTATTCCTATCCAAATTTTGATCTTCAACTAATAAATTAACATGTTTTATGATAAAAATAATTCCCGAGTTAATAATAATCTCGACTAAAATGTTATACATCTGCTAGTGAGCAATCTATAAACATGTCTGTTTTCTAACATCTTAAATGTCTAAACATTTAACTTGAATCCAGAAAATATCTTGCTCTGGTTTTTCTGCCTGTTTTGCAAATGTGATTTCATTTTAAGTCAATAATAAATCCAGTTTATGTCAATTTCAGGAATATAAAATTTCTACAAAAAGCATCTTATTTTTTTATTCTTTTTTCGAAGTACCAAACACATACATCCCGCTTTTACTGCAGAGCTAAATGTCTTAATCATTTTACTCCTCCTAAAAGCTGGGGGTGAAATTATTCTTGCAGGTTTGGGGGTTAAAAGGACAAATCAAGCTTAAACTTGACAAGGGTAAATAATTTTTCTAGAAAAAAATACCCTTAAACCACAGCCCCATTATATTTACGCATCTCTGCCCCTTTAGTAAGAGTAAATTCAACCAATATGAAGCATAAAGTCTGACCGTGTCAACCATGTTACACCGACTAGTCCTGTCTATAGAGCTAGGTACAGTACAAACTGGGACCGGAAGGTTGACCCGGCTTGGAAATTCAAATGTACTACGGCTGCCCGTGTGTTAACATTCATTTCTAACTTATTTAACTAAATGCTCAATTTAGTTGATTAGTTAAAAAATCTTTTCAACAAACTCAAATTTTCTAATCACTATACCTTGCCAAACTGATGTTGTAAATCTTAAATATTTCAAACTTGGATTATTTGATCTAACAGAAATCAAAGTTTGAAACTAAGGTCTACAACTTTGTGCTGAAAAGATGTAGGAATTAGAAAAGCAAAGTTTGTGACAAAGACTAAATTATTTGCTGTAAATTTTAAAAAAACTTCTTTTTGTTAAGAGAACTGTCCTAGTCTACTTTGAATTCCAAAAACTGTTAAACTTAGTTCAAGCCAGGTTTAGCTTAAAAATCAATTCCTTTAAATTTTTATTTGATTGTTTTTTGTTAATGGTTTTTCCATTCATTTGAAAAATTAAAACTGAATAGTTCTTTAATATTGTTTTACAAAAGTTCCAGTAATTTTCAAATATTTTCATTCTTAACCAAAACTGTAGTATCTATAATTTATTGCTATATTCGTTATCCATTTAAAGGGACTGTAAGTGTAAATTTCAGTTTTACCAAAAGATAGAAATTCCCGATTGTCAATGGCATCCTTGAAACCTTAATCTAATCAAAAATATGGACGATAACATTGTTCTTCTAACTCAAAAAGCGTTTATTTCTGTGAATTTTTCCACTGTTTCTTAGAAATGCCCCACTTTTGCAGAGAAATCACAAATGAAAATAAACATGAACATGCATAACTGATTCATACTTGATCAGACAAAGCTCTTTTAAAGGTATCGTTGTAAATAGTGCATTGCCGTCTTTGTTTGGAGGGTCACTTTAAATTATGCTAACGGTCCCCTTAACAGTAGTATTTACTGCTATATTCATTATTCATAAAAGTCAATAAAGATTTATTTTTAGTGCAAAAATATTAATTGGTTCAGAACCAGAAGGTTTAGACAGAGTATCCTATGAAACCCGATATTTGAAACTGGGATTAAAAAATGCGACGAGGAAAATTAAATCTACAAAAATATAATTTAAGACCCCAAGAAGACCAGGCTGTGGAATCCTAGCGCACTCGTGTTACGACTTACGACGAGAAGAATAAGGAAGTGGGGAGGTTAGATAGATAGATACATGGTTGGATAAAGATGGATAGATAGATAGAGGGGGATGCTGGAGTAAAGGTTGGGATACTCTCACTTTATCAGTAGTCTACCTGGATACAGGTGTATGGGGGGGGGGATAATTCCCCCTCCTAGTTTAAGTTTCGCACCACCTACTCTCGATCAAACATTCAATACTTCAAAAATGTTATGTGTCCTTTTAATGACGCCCCCCCGCCCCCAAAAAAATTATTTAGTGGGAAATACTTAAATACTCGGAGAGAAAAAGGAGTGCAAGGATGAGTGGAATTAGAAGAAAAAACCCCCCTGACCTTAAACCAAAATGAAAGGAATACTTTAACAGGGTTACCCATAACAGTCACTTCAAACGTGAAACAAAATTTCTGGTATCCAAGGTTTCCAACAAAAAGAAAAATTAAAAAATTATTTATTTATGAAATATAACAAAAACACAAAATTAAGTGTTTCAGGAGATACGTGTCAAGGAGACTTTCATGGACTAGAGCAATTACTACAGTTTGCGGGTCGGAGGTAATACTGGTGTGGTTCGTCTTCCCTCCATCAATGGTCTGTCAATTAAAATCACAACAACAGTTTTTTTTAACCCTATACCACGAGAGCCCGAGGGTAAGGGGGGATAGTGTAAACAGAAATGTTTAATTGCAAATAGAAGATAGAGCCTGAAACTGTTGGTGATTTAACTTTATGATAAAAGCGGATTAAAGAGGATGAAAGAGAGGGGGGGATTTAAGGTCAGGCATAAATCTGGGGGAGGATAGGGGAGGGGGTGCAGTCTGGATTAAAAGGATAAGCTTAGTGCTACAAATAGAAGGTTGAATCAAGATGTATAAAGGACTAAGAGTGATCTCATATGTTACAAGCTCTACATTCCTCTCCATAGAATTTTGATCATTAAACATGCATTTTTTCTATTCAATTTCCTTCCTTATTATCATTTTACTGAAAGATTTGCAATACCCCCCCCCCCCTATACACTCCCGGCTCCCCCTAAAATCTCAGATCTAGCAGAAACAATCTGAATCTAGAAGAGTCCCCATAAGGCCTACCGGCTACCCCTATACACAGTATACAAACTGAAAAATCTGCGAAAATTTTTCTTGTTCAATTCGATTGCGTAAAGCAATGAGAAAATCGCCAGAAAATATGCACAATTCATGTGCAGTACCTTTTCAAACAGGAAACCGTAGAATATGAGTAATCTGAATATAATCGGGAATAAATATTTTGTTTGCGTACACAGTAATTGCGTATATATACGTATACATTGAGCCGCGTATAGTGGTTGTCGGTAGACTTTGCGTACACCCGAGTCGAGCCAAGGTCAAGGGTGACATGAGCATCTGAGAACGCGTATTCTTCACGAAATTTGACGCAAATCTAAATTTCAACATTTCAAATAATATTTTTACACTTTTAAGAGAAATTAGAATTTTTCTTTGATTTGATAATTAAATGAAATTAAGATGGATGAGACATGATGAGGGTAGAGGCTAATATATTTTAGGTAGGGTATTAAGCATACTATGAAAACTTGTTCCCCCATCCCATTCTATACATTCCCATCTTAACCCCCCGCTTTCTCCCCTCCCCCATTCTATACATTTCCATTCTAATCCCCCGCTATCCCCCTCCCACATTCTATACATTCCCATCTTAAACCCACACTATTCCCTCCTCAATTCTATACATTCCCATATTAACCCCCCACTTTTCCTCCAAACTTCCCATAAACCTCTCAAAGCATTATAGACATTTATGAAAAAAGTATCGGTATTACCTTTGATCGTACCTCAATCACCTTTACTATTTTGTAGCCTTGAATATAAAGATTTGAAATCTAAACCAGATACGATTCACCGACATAGGGTAATACGAAAAAGAGTCAATCGACAAACGGTTAAAGGGTAACGACAAAGAGTAAAACGACATAGGGTCAAAAAGTGCGACAAACGGACAAAAGTTCATTCAGAGTATTTTTGGTTAATTTGAACTATTTCTATGTTCATCAGAACTAGAAGCCGCAGCACTCGGTCCAGAAATTGTCCTATCCTAACCTAACCCTGAAATAATACATATAATTATGTTATGTTTTATGTTCATTTGAACTGCTAGCCGCAGCGCTCGGCCCCCTAGTCTGTCCTAGCCACAGCGCTCGGCTAAGAAATTACCCACTCCTAACCTAACCCTGAAATAATACACAAAATATGTTTTTCCATTTTAACCCTTTGTCGTGTTTTTGTAAAAAGATTCATTTCACTATTAAAAAAAAATATTTAAATTACAGCGTTTACCAACTTTTGAGGGTGAATAGATTAAAATGTCGTCGATTATAATTAAGCTTGAACGTAGTTTATTTTAAACTTTAATCAAATTATATTCCTTGCATGAAAATTTGGCTTATAGTGTTGACTTAAATGTATAAATAATATATTACATGCATATTGAACCCTTTTTTAAGTAAAAAATTAACAATACAATCATGTACTCTCCTAGACTGCACAAATACCGAGATTACACACACTCTTTTTGTACAGACACACGTGCAAGACTTCCCCCCCCCCTGATGGTAAGTAGCTAGACAAATTAACTGAAAAATTAAGTCTCTACGTCGAAAAATGGGTTACTAGTAAAACAACTTGCTTTGAAACAACATCAAATAATTTTGTCTTCCTTTTCTACAGTTTTCTGGTTCTTAACTTATATTATACTCGAACAACTTCAGTTTTTTCTGGGTCTAAGTTAACATTGCATATTTGTTTGTGTATTGTACAGCAGTACAACTGTATATGTAAATGCAGTAAACTGTATTATGTAGATGCAGTACAACTGTACTATGTAGATGAATTACAGCTATACTATGTAAATGCAGTACAACTGTACTATGTAGATGAAGTACAACTATACTATGTAGATGCAGTACAACTGTACTATGTAGAAGCATTACAACTTCACTATGTAGAATGTAGATGCAGTACAACTGTACTCTGTAGATACAGAACAATTGTACTAGATGCAGTACAGTTGTACTAGATGCAGTAAAATTGAACTAGATGCAGTAAAATTGTACCAGATCCGGTAAAATTGTTCTATAGATACAGTAAATTTGTACTATATGCAGTACAATTGTGCTAGATGCTGCAAATTGTACTAGATGCAGTACAATTGTACTAGATGAAGTACAATTGTACTTGATGCAGTAAAATTGTACTGCATCAAGTACAATTTTATTTGAATAATAACATATTTTCTGCATCCAACTTTAAGTTATTTTTGAAATATGTAGGTATATATCGTATTGTTTACAAACATGGTAAACGGGGGGTGCTTATTTCAAGCAAATGTATACCTGGAAAGCTTGAGTCCTGCACATTGCACATCTTTAAGTTCTATAATGACTGCATAAGTCTGAAAGTATAAAAAAAAAATTTAATCCGAAGTTCATAATTATGTCAGAAGTGTCAAGAAATTAAGTTTTTAAAGCATCAAATTGTTGGGAAATATTAAAAGTTTGCCGGGAAAATGTGAGAAATTGTGAAGAAAACGTAAAATAAAATATTAGGAAAGTTAGCACATTGTTTGTAAAATCTAACAAAATATTTAGCATAGCTTAGTTTATAGGGAATTGCGCAACTCTTCGTTGGTAAATACCAAAAATGGTAAAAACTAATGCCTCATGTTAATTTCGATTTATCCTTTGAAGATAAAGATAAAACCATCATTAAAAAATAAAAAATTCAGATTTCAAAGAATCTCTTTTGATTTCAGTTCAAAAAACTCGCCAAATTCTTAAATACTCTTCTTACCAAATGTTGATTTGAGAGGACCTCCGATTTTGAAAATCTAATTACATTACGATGATAAAAAATGAAACTTACATAATACTACAACTGCAATTCATTTCTAATATTCAACTTATTTTTTGTACATTTATTTTTTCTTATGTAGGAATTTTTTTTTGTTGTTGAACAATGTACTTTGTACATTTTGTAACATAAATTATCATTAAAATTAACTTAGTCTTTTTTTTCATTTAATAATATTTGTATATATATATCAAATTCATGATTGAATAAATTTGATCAAATGACCAAATAATAATAAGTTTAAAGCGTTTTTTTCAGAAAAATTCGGGTGTTCAATGTTCAGAGATCAGGGCAAAACATTTTAAACAGTTCTATTGAACAGTCTTTTTAATTTTTTATAAGCTGGTGACTTCCTTCCTTCTAGCAGATCATAATTTACATCTTTTATAAAAAGGTTTCAAAGATTTCCATAAAATGAGCCCATTAACTGCTAAGTAATGGTAATATGTTATAAAATAGTTCCATAAAAAGTTTCTTAAAACTAGTGTAGACATTTCATTAAGTTGAACAGAAAGGTATCATAAAGTTCCATAAAGTGGTTACGATATTTTTTATAAATAGTTTGAACAAATATTCTGTAGAGGTTCCCAAAAATAAGCTGGAAAGGTTCCATAATGTTCCATAGTGAGGTTCTATATGGTTTCCTAGATAGGTTCCATAAGTTCCTTAGACTCTTAGAGAGGTTCTATAGAGTTCCCTAGAGAATAAAGTTTCCTAGAATGGTTCCATAAAGTTCCCTAGTGAGGTTCCATAATGTTCCCTAGAGAGGTTCCATAAAGTTTCCTTGAGCGGTTCCATAAATTTCCCTGGAGAGGTTCCATTGAGTTCCCTAGAGATGTTCCATGAAGTTCTCGAGAGGTTCCATAAAGTTTCCTCGAGAGGTTCAATAAAGTTCCCTAGAGAGGTTCCATAAATTTCCCTGGAGAGGTTCCATTGAGTTCCCTAGAGATGTTCCATGAAGTTCTCGAGAGGTTCCATAAAGTTTCCTCGAGAGGTTCAATAAAGTTCCCTAGAGAGGTTCCATAAAGAATTTGATGAATCCTAGAAGAGCTTTGGAGGTAATGGCCTTACACTTGGTCATCTGTCTTAGCTTGGCATCACAGATAATTCTAAAAAAAATTCGACTTTACGCAATTTTAAGATAAAAAACTTTAAAAATTTTAAAATGTTGAATTCGAAATTGCTAGGATTTTTTTAATGTATGAAAAATAGAAATTATGATAGAAAAAAAAGGGTTAAACATGCTGAAAGCGGCCTCCTTTTGACAGAAAAGTAAACAATTGCAGAGGGTAAATAGCAAAAATGATTATTAAGAACCTGTTAACGGAATTTTAATTGACTTCCCCTTGAAATACGTTCATGTCTCTCCTCTCGATGATCTGAATGATTCCGCGTGGCAGAGACATTTTAAGATCATTTTTTCGCCGTAAGCCTATACTCCCCTTTAATTTTTCGCAAATACTCCCTTTAAACCTCTGTCTGAGCAAAAAACACCTGATGGTATCACTAAGATCATGAAAAATACCTGGTTTTAACACTAGGATCATTAAAAATACCTGGGGTTATCACTAGGATCATAATTAATACCTGGTTTATCCATAGGATCATGAAAAATACCTCGTTTTAACACTAGACTCATAAAAAAACCTGGTGTTATCGCTTGGATTATAAAAAATACCTTGTTTATCACTAGGATCATGAAAAATACCTGGTTTTATCACTAGGATGATGAAAATTACCTGGTTTTATCACTAGGATCATGAAGTTTCTTCTCGTGTATATAAAGCCAGGTTTTCTTGAGAGCATCATTCCTAGAACAAAGTTAAGTTAAGGAACGTTTATTGTCGTTTTTTCTTTGAAAATGTGTTGATTAAATATTGTTTACAGTGAGTTGTTTTTTTACTCTATTCAAAACTTGAGACTGATTAAAAATAGCACCTACCCCCAATATATAAAGATTATGAAAAATTATGAAAAAATTTAGAATTTACAAAGAAATTATAAAAATAGGTTTAAAAGCTAGCAGACTATTATCGTGTTTTTTTATTCAGTCATTATCCACCTCCCCATCTCTGCATTCCCTTTTGTAAATATTTATGTACATAATTTTAAAAGAAATCGAAACTTATAATTCAACTGACCCTCCAGAACTAACAAAGAACCAAAAGCTTGCGATTTATTAGGTTTGGCCGCATCGTTCATCAGTAATATCAATGATATCAGTAATAAAAAAACTTAAAAATATTAATAAGATGTTTAAGAAACATATTTTTATTGGATACAATTGATGACAGATAAAAAAATGAAAATATGAATGATAACTAATAAGTAAATATTAATAAAAAACATATTAATATTTACTTTGGTCAAAATTTTTAAATTTCATCAGATAAATTTTCTTTAAAAGCTGTATTTTCAAAATTGAATTAAATTTTTTATTCAAAACCTTATCTGCAAACATAACGTCGTAATACTTTTTAACATCTAAAAATTACTATGTAAAAATTGAATCTGATTTTAAATAAATATCTAGATTTTAAAATATGAAAATGAGAGCTAAATCTTAGCTACATTTTTTTTATTAGTTTACTCCGACTTTTTAACATTAACACTTTATTTTCAACACCATCCCAGAAAAAAAAATGTGGGGGTGAGTCACTTAAAATATATCACACTAGTCAAAACTAGTTTTTAAACTAAACCTTTCGGCTGATATGAATGCATGAATGTTACGATTAGTGCATCGATAATACAGGGAACTTGCAGGTCTACAGAGTACACGGTGTCCCAATAAACATGAGAATTATGTGAAATATTTAATCGTCTTCAATTGTCTATATTTAAAGTGTGAAAAAGGAAGAACAGCATTATTGAAGTCTACTGTTTGTGTATTTAGAGATATTTTTTTAAAAAGACACCATGCAAGCAAAATCAAACGTAAACCACCATAAAAATTGTGATATGTCCTCTTTAAAAACCAGAATCAGAGTAACGCTAGAAAAGATATCATCGATTATCCGTCTAAAAAGTGATGAATTCTGTTAATTTCATTGTTTGTCTGCAAGGCATAAATGCAAAGGCAACTTTAATAGAGAAACAACAATTAAAAATTATCAATTTTAGCTAGAAAAATTAGAGATAATCATTCTTACTTGATCAAAGATCTAAAAGCATCTGAAAAAAAGATCTAAAAATAAAGTCCCTTGGACTTACGTCTCCACAAGGGACTGTAATAGTAATTTCAAGTGACCCTCCAGGTAAACATGGCAATGCTCGAAACCTTTTAATTCTAAATTTTCGGTAAAATGCGCCAGTTACTTTTATAGAGAAACCACAGTTGAAAATTTTTAGTTTTCAAAATTATAAACATTGATATCTAATTCATATCGCGTCGTTGTGAATCGGGCAATCTTTGCATGGTGTGTCGCTTTAAATTACGCTAACAGTCCCTGTAATTATGCACCTGCTCATCTTCTTAGCTTTGCAGATAGTTGCCAAAGGCTCAAGAAGTCTCTTTGGTGTCACTCCAATCCGTTTACGCTCCTGGATTAGAACACTGTACAATCAATCAATACTGTAATCTTTACAGTTACACTGAACAGTATTGTAAAATTAAAATCATATTGATTAAAAAAAATTCCCCAGAAATAGCCAAAGGCCCAAAAGCCAAATAATTAAAAATGTCGGAGCTAAAGTTCACCAAGATAAGATTCGTTCACTTTCTACTGTGACATAATTTATCATGAACAAAAAATATTTAGTAAAATCTATGAGATCATACAAAGCCTTGTTAAAAATTTGCTGAAGTTCAGTCTATGTCGTATTGTTTAAAATTAAACATGTTGACTGTTGAGCTGTCCTAAAACGTCACAATAAAACAACACGATCTATCAAAATGATTGAACAAATTGTTTCACTGCATCTTTCGTTTTGGATATAAAGTTCAGATCTTATGCCAGAGTACTAATATTGCACAGTATAATTAAAATTATAAAAGTATAAGGTTTTCAAATATGATAATTTCTCAGATTCTTGTAAAGCCTCTTAAAACAAGGTAAAAATATTGACTGTTTAAATAAACGAACTCTAGTTCCAACCCCTAACCTGTTCTTTCGTTCCAGGTTCCTTCTTTACAGTTACAGGTTTCTTTTCAGATTTGGAGTTCAACACCTTCTTGGATTTGGCAGGGTTGGGTTTAATAGACGTTGGTTTAGATTTGGAACGCACTGGTTCCGGTTTGGTTGTGGACGGTTTGGCGTGGGTTGGTTTGTCTGGAGAGGGAGGTTCAGGGTTGGGTTCAAGGTCTTTCCTTTTCCGAGGTGTACAGCTAGCTGAGGATAACAGCAAACCTTTATAAGATTTTACTTTATTCAGGGGTTTATATTTTAATACTTCCCCCCCCCCCCCACCTTTTCTCCTAGTAGATAATTTCTAATAGTAATGTATTTTAGAAGGAAAATTAGAGATTAAATTAATATAAACGGATTGCTGAAAGCATAGCTTCAAGACACTCTCCATGTAAAGATGACAATGCCCGATTCACAACAGTAACCTTAAAAGCTTTGTCTGATCAAGTTTAAATCTATATATAAATTTGGCTTGTCTGTCTGTCTGTCTGTTTGTATCCAATAAACGTCAAAACGGCTGAACCGATCGGGCCCAAATTTTTTGTGGGACATCTAGGGACCCCAGGGCAGGTTAATGAATGATTGAAATTTTAAATATTTGTCTCAATCAAAATTTGATCGTCATTAAATTTTTTTTAAATTTTGAAAATCCGCGAAATTTTTGTGAAAATCCGCGAATTATTTTTGTTTTGTTTTACGATGTACACAAAGAGAACATGTTCACAATTAATTTAGAAGATGGGCGCGAAGCGCCCTCTAAGGCTAGTTATATATATTCATCTTATTAACTTTTTTGTAGTTTCTTTGCAAAAGTGACTTGTGTGTGAAACATATAGGAATTGTAGGAATTAAACACTTTTTAACCTATAAAAATGACATTATCTTCCGCATTATTGATCAGATGACAGTTTCAAGGTGTTAGTTGTGAATCAGACAAGGCCATCTTTGCATGAAGGATCATTAGAATTATTACGCTTACAGTCCCGTTTAGTTTCTATAGTTTAAGGGGACCATCAATTATAATTTGCAATGAAAAAATACTTTTGTTTTTCATAAGGTTAGAAGATATCCAGTTTCAAGTTTCTAGTTATAGTAACGGTGAATTTCCTAAGAAACATATTTGATTTTTGAGAGGATAATACATTTTGGCAGATATGTGTAAAAAAAACCGGACAACAGTTTGCAAATTAAATTTTACCTTTTTTGATTCCAAGTTCTAGAACTTCTAGTAGTTTGTTTGTAACATGAGTAATATTCTCCTTGGGTTTGTATTTGCGGAGAACGAAGAGAAGTATTTCTAGCTTTGTACACCCCTCTCCGCCAACACGGTTCATCTCTAAATCAAAATAAAGAATAAAAGATGTTCCCGCATTTTTTTTGGGGGGTGGGGGGAGGGAATTTTGAGCCGCAATTCATATGACTCATTTTTGGAAATGTTTAGCAAAACTGAACTTCTGTAATTATTACATTCACTAAGGTAAAAACGGGATGTTTGCGTTATTTTTTAGGATTTTTGAAAGAAAATTAATTTTTGACAAATGGAGGACGTTCAGAACAGAAAAATATTTTAGATCTGGTGTTCAACATCCGGTGATTGGGAAATCAAATAAACTAAAAAGCATATCTCATTAACGAGACTAATTACTAAATATTGTATTATTGTCTCCGCCTCCCGCTCCCCTCATTACTTCTTTAACCTTTAGAGATCAATATTTATTAGTTCCTGTACCTAGAAGCGCTTGTCTTATCATTGCCGTGTAAGGAGGCTTTGAAGGAGACGTCCTCTCTCCGTCCTGGGATTCCTCCCGTCCCCTATATCCGGGAAACAGGACAAACTCCTCCTTCCTGATTTTCCTTGTCCTGGAGGAGGGCGTTACCACCAGGTTAGTGGGGGAGGCGTGTCCGTTAGTCAGCTCAACAGGTTTAGCAGGACTATGGATAATTCTCACCGTGCTGTTCACATCTTTTATAGGAGATATGATAGACTTGGCAGAGCTTTCTGTTATTTCGGGCATTTTCGAGGGAGACCTGAGGGCGCTTAAAGGCTTTACAGAGATTTTTTGCGGCGACACTATTTCTGGTTTAGGAGTGATAGTCCTAGGTCGGGAAGATTTAGGACTCACAGTCTCTTTTTTAACTTCAATAGGTTTGGACTTGGGACTTTCTTTGCTTGCGACCGGAGAGTTTTTCTTCGGCTTGTCACTTTCACTTTTAGCCTTGACTTTTACAACTTTAACCGTGGTTTCCTCGTCATTTATAGGCGTTCTTTTCCTCTTTACTCCTTTCTTCTCCTCCACTGGAGATTCTTGTTTAGGGGAACTTTCTTTAGATCGCTTTCTTTCCCGGGAAGGTTTTAGTTTAGGTTCTTCAGGTGTCAGGGTTTTTGGAGAGCTGTCCCCTTTCTAAAACATTGTGAAGATATATTTTAGATAGACTTAAAGAGACTGTAAGCGTAATTTCAAGTGAACCTCCATGTAAAGTTTAGAACAGTACCCTTGAAACCTAAATCTGATCAAAAATGTGGAAAATGAAGTCGTTTTTCTGATTCGGAAAGCGTCGATTCTGATCATTTCCCCATTCTTTAGCAAAGAAACCACATGTCAAAATTGACGGTTTTCACATTGTGTTAAATTCTTCAGACAAAGCTTTTTAGGGTAACGTTATAAATAGGGCATTGCCATGCCATCTTTGCATGGAGGGTCACTGGAAAATACGCTTACAGTCACTTTAAATCTTACTTCTTAAAAAACTACCATACATTGCTGGTCACTCCCTTTAATGGCAACTTATTTCATGTGGAATGAGAAGGAAGAACATTTTTTTTATTTCATCACTTTATTATTAAGTGATACATATCATATCAGGGTTACCCACAAAGGATGAGACTTCAGAGACGATTGTACAGCATTTGTACTGCCTGTTTCCTTATATTCTTGATTCACTGCAACTGTAAACTTCTTTGTTTCTTTAGCCAAATCATTAAATAAGCCATTAAATTACTAAATGATACTTAATTTAACCTTGGGATCGTCATATTTAAATTTTTGTTCGTTTTTACAGTCTCATCCTTTGTGGGTAACCCTGTACAAAAAACATGTTTTCCGTTCTCCTAAAAGACTCACCTTCAGTTTGGCTTGTGGTACCACAGTAACTTCAGATATATCTTTTCTCCTCTTTCGCGGATTAACAGTCTTCTCTTTTATCTGTTCATTAACGATTTCTTCAACTATCGATATATCATCTGCAGATTTCTCAAACTCGTCTTTTAAATACAGTGAGGCGTCCTCAGAATTAATAACCTGAAGAAAAATGCAGTTAAATTTGTTAGTACTTAAGATTCCTACTAACAGCTAAGCTCACTTGTATTGAGGATATCAAGATCAATGCTTGATCTCTATCTTTTGTAAATCTGCAGATTAATTTAATCTTTACTTGATATCATGCATGGTAATTCTACCCAGTCAGTGGTTGAAAGGAGGAGTAAGCGAACGAAAGATATGAAAAGTTCTACTTTTTTATAGATTTTCAAAAAATGTAAAGTGTCCACAGTGGATATCGAGGTCAAGCAATAGGGATTATGAGTATACAACACAAAAGTTCCCAGCTCACTGCAGTGCTTAGGATCCATTTAATTTGTATGCGGATCCACAGTCCGCACTGGAAAAAAATGGATCCTGATTCAGGTCAGGAACATTTTTATAGCAACGCAAAATTGACAAATTATATTTCTTCTTTTTTTCGCTTATTATTATGCCTAAAATTGACGAACCATTAAGAGATCAGGAAATTTGTATTACCTCTCTTTTACAACAATTCAAAGGGTTTTGCAGTTTTTAGTTGATATTTAGCCCCATAGATCCGGATGCCGCATATTTTTGCGGATCCGGATCCAGGAAGCCAAAATCTTGCGGATCCAACGGATCCAGATCCGGGAACATGAACACTGCAGCTCAGAATCAATCAATGGAGATATTTTCATTTCTTATTGTTAAAAAAAGATAAAGCCCCCCCCCCCCGGGCCCCCTCCAACTGGACAAACCCTGTATACCGCCCCGTGATCTAATCCTGTACCTTCATCCCTGCCAGATCCTTCTTGAGAAGCTCATCAGTACTATTTATCCTAGCTGCTGCTCCACCCTCAAACCTCAGCTTTACAGGACTCTTCTTCGTAACAGCTGCTTCGGATACAGCAGCTCCTGTTGAAGAATCAGTAGCTCCTGCAGAGAAGAAGCTGCGAATATCACGCTGCTTTCGTTTTGATTCCGGGGTTCCGCTTAGCTGTCCTCCCGTTCCTGGTTTAAAGGGTATATATTTTCTTCTTACATCCCCTCCACACTTTTGAAAAATCATATTTTTCTCAGCATATGTTGTTGGCATGTTCGCGTGGAGAAAAATAGCAATTTTAATAAGTATTTTCAAAAAAAGAGAAAAGAACTTTTTTTAAAAGTATAATGAGGGGAAAAATTTTGACTTTCCTTCCAGAACTAAATCTTCAAACCCCCCCCCCCCTTGTGAATTCTTGTATATACCCCTGCCTGGTTTAGATCTTGACGGAGACATAGACAAGGATGATTCTAACTTCTCCTTCTTAACCACCGGCTCTATACTCTTCTTCTTCCTTGTAACCTTCACATCTTTCATCTTCTCTTTCTTTTTCTTCCAGCTTTCCACACTTTTCCCCGATTTTTCAGAACTTAAAATAAATAAATGTAAAAAAATTTATTTAATTATTTATTTATTTATCATGGCAACCCTAAAACCACGAAAGGAGTTAGATATCACGCCCGTCAGCACCTTCCTGTATAGCTAAATGATACATGGTCATGTTTTAGGTAAGGCCTGGTAATTCAATAATTCAATGAAAATCTGGGAATTTAAATCGAAGATTTTTTCTAAAACATTTATTCATTTTGTATTAAAAAAATCCAAAAAATATTTAAAAATGATTTTTTAGATACACATTAATTAAAATCTAATATTTTCGTAAGAAAGGGTGACCTCTGACCTTTTATCCACTCCCTGGCTAGGCTGGTTGGCCTCGGTCTCCTCCTGGAGGTCAGGAGACGTCAAGAACTCGTCAGTTAGTCCGTCCTCCAGGTCTATCAGTGGAGGCTCAACCTTTAAAGGGACGTTAAGCGTAATTTCAAATCTTTGACTGATCAAGGATGTCGAACAAATCCCTCTTAATCTACTTGAACGCTTTTAAAACACTTAGTATTTTAGATCAATCACGTTCTAAAAGCGGCAGAATATAATAATTAACTTTTAAATGTTTAAAAGCCCGCTTTAAACGTAAAAACAGTCGATACTTTGAGTTGCGTAAGTAATAGATCAGATACGTTGAGGTTACTCTGTACACAGCGTACAGGATGAGTTTTAGAGAAATTCAAGCGGGTTAATATGTTTGAATGAAGATATCTTTATACTCGATGAACAGTCGCAAGTTTCAAGGGTATCGTTGTAAATAGGACATTGCCGTCTTTGCATGGAGGGTCACTTGAAAATACAATAAAACACTTTAAATAAGTGATATGGTACGGTGGTAGGCGTTTATATCAATATAATGCGGACGACTTTTGATTTCAATTTTTATTCAAGCACACAAAAACATGGAAACAAAGAGAAGCTGCCAATTAAAAAAACTTTTCTTTAATTACTTGTAAACTTGTAATTCGAAAAAAGATTGATAACAATTAAAACTTCAACAAAACAGTCGTCTTCATTTTATTGTTAAAATCGCCAACCACCGTAGATAATTTTTGAAGAAAAAACCCTTACCTTAGATGCTTTTTGAGATTTCAGATTTGCAGCACCTTAACAAAATAAAATAAAATCTTTTTTTAATTAATTAATTTATTTTTTATCACCTTGTTTTCCATAAACACATTTAAAAACATATTCTAGGTTCGTTGGATTATCTCGAGAAAATTCGCAATTTTCACACGCGCATTTTCTTGGACAGCTGACGAGCTGACGTTTCTCTAACAGTTGGGACAGATGCTGCTTTCCGTTGTGCTTAATAGCGATCTTCCAACTCTGGCTCTTCCCACCTTAATACAAATATATTAAAATGTGTGAAATTACTGTAAAACAACCCGGAAATTAACACATATACTGTACAGGTGGATCCGCAAAGGATGAGACTTAAGAGACGACTGTGCGAAATCTAATCAATCTTTTTTTCTCATTATTTCAAGATCATATTAAAGTCGAAACGTTAGATCATTACGCATTAAAATTTTAAATTCGTTCTTCTTCAAGGTCGTCATTAAAGCCTAATATTCTTTAAGAGTAACTAAATTAGGATATAAAAAAAAGTGGATCATTATTAAAATCATGAAAAATGGGAATGGTAATTATACTCCCGAAACGTAGTAAAAGTTTGGTTGAGAATCTAATTGAATTTTCATTAATACACTAATTTTCTAACTGTTTGATTGATTGATTGACAACCTGACTTGATTGATTTATTGATTGATTAATCTATAAAATACCTAAAGCTGCGAATTCTATAGGATTGAGCAAAAAACCAGGAACCATCGAGTGTTCTATACAGCGGCTAGTTCCACCTTCAAATAAATAATTAGACTTCTATAGTCGAAGGCCGAATTTAAAGAATTTGAACCGCGTGGCTGAACCGCCAAAACCGGTTCCTTGAGCGTCGGCTCAAATCTCGAAACATTCCAGTTGAACCAACCGTGTTTGAACTGTCTCAGACGTAAACTTAAATACTTAATTGGTTTTAACTTCGCAGGTAGGAGTGAATTGGTTTAAAATTTTGAGTTTAACTCATTTCATCCATTCTAAAATCAAAGCTTTTCGTAAATTTATAACTTCAGAGTCATTAACTTGCGATATTTTTATAGGGGGGGGGGGGGCGGTGAGAAAGAGATTAAGAAATTGTGCGATGAAAAAAATTAGACAGTAGGAAAAGAAAAAGAATCTGTGATTAAAATTTTCATATCTTCGAGTCTATTTCTATCCTCACGTATCTAGAGTTAATGTTCATATCTTTGAGTCAAATTCTGTCCTCACAGTTACTAGAGTAATTTTCATATCTTTGAGTCAATTTCTGTCCTCTCAGTATCTAGAGTTCACATATTTTGTTGTACCTGAACTGAACTTATTGATCTTAAGCTTGCCAACTTCAACTCCACAACTGTTCAAGAAACACACAAACAATTATTCTTTATGTTTTGGTGACAGAATAATTATTCTTTATGTTTTGGTGTCAGAACAGGAAAATTCTAGCAATGTTGAAGCAACTAAGCCTTTGAGTCAAAACATTTTAATAAAAAAAGTTGTTTATTTAAAGCATGAAGATGTGTTATGATCATTAAATCGTAAAAAAATACTTTCTCCTTTTCAAAATACATTGATAAATGGGGATGATTTTTTGAGAAAATGATCAATTAAATTTTAATTCGCAAATTCTTTGGAACTTCCTAGAGTTTCGTAAAAATTCGGCTACTTTATTGAAAATAATTTTTACTAAAAATACGTACATTTTTTGTTTCTTAAACTAGGTGGAAACATGAGTTATCTATATTCCTTTAATGTCATTTCCTTTAACCAAATTAAGTTAACAAGAATGTCAACAAATACATATAATTTTTATCTTGATTGCAAAATCAGGGAACGAATTCGCATCCACATATAGGATTATATAAAAGAAATTTAATGTTTGTGATTCTAATGCGCGTTTTTGTTAATGAGATAGCAGAAGTTTTGTGCATTTCAAATGTTTATAAAAATGTAAATTTGTTCACTTTCAGCAGAATGCAGGTTCGAAAATACATTCTAAAGTATCATTTGAAAATATTTAATGTAAATAATAAACTGTACAATTTAAGTCGAGCATTTCTTACCCCTTAACTGAGAAGAAACAGCGGAAATGTTGTCATGTTTTCTTTTGCTTTTTGTTTTTCAATATTAGTTATTAAAATATTAATTTGTTCCTTAATATATCATATTTATTTAAAAACGTTTCTCAAATGCCTATCTTGTATCAAACTAAATATAATCAAGTCGATATTTATTACTTGGTTTAATAATTATCTAAAAAATGAAATTATTGAGATTAAATTCCTAATCTCTGAATGGTCAATCATGTTAAAAAATTAAAAAAGCGAAAAAGCGCTGGAAAATATATTCAAAAATTTTCAAGTTGAACATGTTATCTACACTTAAAATAAAACTCTGTAGAATAGTTTGTGTATTCCCTGACATCAATACAGGTCCCTTCTTTATCTACTTCAGCCGCCATTTCCTTTTATCTGAAACTGAAAATCCGGGAAATCCGTTTATAACGAAAGTGTAAAATTTATTGTTAAAATATCAAATAATAATTACTTTCACATAATTCATCTTCTGTTATTATAGTAGTTGTGTTGGCCCACTCCTGGGGGTGGGGGCCGAGCCCCACCTGGAGGTGGTCTAGTCCATTGCCCCTGAAAGGGTGGGGCACCAGCATACCCCGCCGGCGGGTAGGCGTGAGGAGCAGGACCGCCGCCGTACTGCGCTGTTGCTGCTGGCGTTTGAGAATAAGGCGATTGAGCTACAGTAGTTTGTCCATATTGCGGCTGTGCGGCCACGGCAGGAGAATATTGTGGCTGTGCGGCCGGCTGTTGAGAATACTGTTGAGGGGTTTGCAGTGGGGGAGCAGAGCTGTAGTTTCCTACAAAATCATATTTATTTTTCTCCTATTAGAAAAAATATGGGAAATTTATCTAGATTTTTTAAATAAACATTATAAAAACAAACAAAAACCGGTTTGACCATAGTTTTTGAGTTTGACATAATATATCTAGAACAGTTGCAATTTTACAGAATTAAATGATTAATTAACAAGCTTTTTCATTTATTGTTGGTCTAGTGTATATAATAAATTAATGATATAATTATAATGTTTTAATATCAAAACTTACCTTGATACGCATAGGTTGGAGGTAGTTGGTGGTACCCTGGTACACTCGTTGTCTAAATAATATAAATAAAGAAATTTAAATTTTTTCTAATTAAACTGCTAATTACACCTTAAACATTAATTAGGTTTAATGTAATTGACTTTTTAAATGTTTGCAAAACTGTAAAGGGTTTAATACAAGGATATGGACAATTTGACCAATTTCTTAGTCTTGCTACCATAAGTCATCTCTATCGCTACACTGCGCGGATAGGGCGTAACTATAGTCACTATAGAGTTACTATGGTTGTACAATGTTCAATGTAACTATGGTAGCACGACTAAGAATTTGGCCCCTTGTGTGTTACAACATAGCGAAAAAACCTGGAATTATAAAACTTAAACGAGGTAATTTGCCGAGTACGTTCCTTGCATGGATAAGGGCCGTCCTAATGATTTCCTATCGGTGACGATAGTTTGGCCCCTAGATGTCTCACGTAAAATTCTTATCTGATAGATAGATAATTAGGACGCAAACAGTCGGAGACGTCATCTGTGTGAAACCTATACCTAAAGCCCTATTTAGGAAGTAACGAGGAGTGACGAACCCAGTGCTCACACAAACCTTGAACTACAACAGGAGCTGGATCCACATCTAATCATCAATCCTCATCTTCAAGCTGCAGAAGTTATAAAGTACTTTCTATTTAACTCTATATTTAGCCATGTTTAACGAATATTTTACCTTGTTNTGGATATTTACAGAAACAAGCGCGTGAGAAATGGGTATGATGACTGAGCCTGCGTCCGGCATTTGGCGTGAAGACCTAATTGAAAATTAGGTGAGAAATGCACAATCTGTTCGACCATTGTAATGTTTATAAGAAACCAACTAGGCTCTGATTGGTTTAAAAGCAAACGTATATATTTTTCGGGCCGCTACTTAAGTGTACTCTATTGCTGGAATTTGCCGACAACATTTACCTGGGGGTAGGGAGCAGGTAAAGGTTCACCTGCCATTTACTTGGGGGTAGGGAGCAGATGAAAGTTGACCTGGTAATTACCTGGGGGTAGGGAGCAGGTGACGGTTGACCTGTCGGCGCCTGGGCCGGATATCCCGTATATCCAGGGTACGCAGAGTACGCCGGATGTACAGGTGGTGTGCTTCCTGTCTCAGCTGCTGTGCTTCCTTAAATTAAATTATAATTTTTTATATTTGAAAATAAAAATTATTTATTTGTATATTTACTGGTGGTTTTTAAACAATTTATATGTCATGAATTAAAGAAAGGGTACACATAAAAAATTTGTTAAGATCTGCATTATGCCAAATCATTAAATCAGAGGATATCAATGTGATTAACAGTTTCTAACAAATTTCATAACAATGCGGTTTTTTTCAAATACACCCTATCTTATGATTATACCTTCTCCCTGGATTGGAATTGTGATAAGGTTGGATTGTCTTGTATTGATCACGGCAATATGGTTCCCCGCCGCGTTCCTGTACTGAGCCGTGGTCACAGGACTGTAGGGGGGCGGAGCACTGGCCGAGTAGGCGGGGGAGTTGGCAGAATTTGCAGCAGCAACCGCGGCGGCTAAACTTGCCTTCATAACAAAACATTAAAACTAAACAATTTCGAATTTTTTTAATTCTATCTTTTTTTTACTTTTTATATGCATGCAAATTTTGTTCTTCGGTTACTGCAATCAAATAAATACAAGCTAATTAAGGGTAAAACTTTTTAATCCTGATGATTGAGCCGTTTTGGCGTTTATTAAGAACACAACCNTTTTTTTAAACTGTACACTGTAGTGTACAGTTTAAAAATATATTTGAAACATTTCTCTGCTCTGGTCACATATCTCAAGGATTTAGGTTTATAAAACATTGGTATTGGAAACCTGTCAGAACTATCAGATAATACATCTTTGATAACACTGTTCATAAATATAAAAAGTAATATATTCACTATTCACACTTATATATATATATATATATTGTAGAAGCCTGGTTTTTAGTTATAAGAAAATATATATAGATCTATATATATATTTGTTGTTGTTCAAAGAATTTGACTACTGAGGATCGTCATGAGGCGTGAAATATTATGTTTAGTATAATTCTTCTTTAATAAAATGTGAAATTTAAAAACTGAAATATATATACATGTAAATATAATAAAACTCCTATATGTAAGATTATAGTTATAGCTGGCCAAACGGCTGGACCAAATTGGCTGAAATTTGTTTTCAAATTTTTTTTTAAGTTCCACTAGAAACACCGGGCACTTGAGCTAGCAGTATATTATATATCTATAAACATAAAAACGGCTGAACCGATCAAGCCCAATTTTTTTGTGGGACCTCGCGTGACCCCAAAGAAAATTTATGGACGATCAAATTTTCAAAATTTGCCTCTAACAAAATTCGATTTTTGAACATTAAGAAAATCCACGAAATTTTTTATAAAATCCGTTAAATTTGTTTTTGTTTTTGTTTTACAATATATTCAAAGAAAACATGTTCAGAATTGAAATAGAAGATGGGCCCAGCCTGGTATATATATAAATTATAAATACATCGATGTGTAAACAGATGTACCTTGCTCAAAGAATTGACTGCGTTCCTAATTGCGTCGCTTGTCGTTACCTCCTTTTTTTCTCCGCCTCTAAACAAAGAGAAGATAACATTTATACAGGGGGTGTATATTTATACAGGGGGTGTATATTTTATACAGGGGGTGTATATTTATACAGGGNTAACCTATCTGGTAACCTATCTGGTAACCTATCTGGTAACCTATCTGGTAACCTATCTGGTAACCTATCTGGTAACCTATCTGGTAACCTATCTGGTAACCTATCTGGTAACCTATCTGGTAACCTATCTGGTAACCTATCTGGTAACCTATCTGGTAACCTATCTGGTAACCTATCTGGTAACCTATCTGGTAACCTATCTGGTAACCTATCTGGTAACCTATCTGGTAACCTATCTGGTAACCTATCTGGTAACCTATCTGGTAACCTATCTGGTAACCTATCTGGTAACCTATCTGGTAACCTATCTGGTAACCTATCTGGTAACCTATCTGGTAACCTATCTGGTAACCTATCTGGTAACCTATCTGGTAACCTATCTGGTAACCTATCTGGTAACCTATCTGGTAACCTATCTGGTAACCTATCTGGTAACCTATCTGGTAACCTATCTGGTAACCTATCTGGTAACCTATCTGGTAACCTATCTGGTAACCTATCTGGTAACCTATCTGGTAACCTATCTGGTAACCTATCTGGTAACCTATCTGGTAACCTATCTGGTAACCTATCTGGTAACCTATCTGGTAACCTATCTGGTAACCTATCTGGTAACCTATCTGGTAACCTATCTGGTAACCTATCTGGTAACCTATCTGGTAACCTATCTGGTAACCTATCTGGTAACCTATCTGGTAACCTATCTGGTAACCTATCTGGTAACCTATCTGGTAACCTATCTGGTAACCTATCTGGTAACCTATCTGGTAACCTATCTGGTAACCTATCTGGTAACCTATCTGGTAACCTATCTGGTAACCTATCTGGTAACCTATCTGGTAACCTATCTGGTAACCTATCTGGTAACCTATCTGGTAACCTATCTGGTAACCTATCTGGTAACCTATCTGGTAACCTATCTGGTAACCTATCTGGTAACCTATCTGGTAACCTATCTGGTAACCTATCTGGTAACCTATCTGGTAACCTATCTGGTAACCTATCTGGTAACCTATCTGGTAACCTATCTGGTAACCTATCTGGTAACCTATCTGGTAACCTATCTGGTAACCTATCTGGTAACCTATCTGGTAACCTATCTGGTAACCTATCTGGTAACCTATCTGGTAACCTATCTGGTAACCTATCTGGTAACCTATCTGGTAACCTATCTGGTAACCTATCTGGTAACCTATCTGGTAACCTATCTGGTAACCTATCTGGTAACCTATCTGGTAACCTATCTGGTAACCTATCTGGTTCGCGTCTCATTTTCATTCGTTCATAAAGTAAAATTTCGGATCAGCGTTTATTACTTTTGGAGCTAGAGCAATCTAATATCTAATCAATTACCTGGAACCTCCCTGTGTACACAAGAAAATGGATCCTAGGCCTGCCTGCTCTACTCTTGTCACTTTGTCTTTACACCGAGTACACTGCTTATCCTCCTAATACAGTGGGACATATAAACTGTGGAATAGGAAGAGGACGTCTTATACTCCTAATACAGTGGGACACATAAAACTGTGGAAGAAGAGAACTGCTTATCCTTCTAATACAGTGGGACACATAAAACTGTGGAATAGGAAGAGAACTGCTTATCCTCCTAATACAGTGGGACACATAAACCTCCTAATACAGTGGGACACATAAACTGTGGAAAAGGAAGAGAACTGCTTATCCTCCTAATACAGTGGGACACATAAAACTGTGGAATAGGAAGAGAACTGCTTATCCTTCTAATACAGTGGGACACATAAACTGTGGAATAGGAAGAGAACTGCTTATCCTTCTAATACAGTGGGACACATAAACTGTGGAAAAGGAAGAGAACTGCTTATCTTTCTAATACAGTGGGACACATAAACTGTGGAATGGGAAGAGAACTGCTTATCCTCCTAATACAGTGGGACATATGAAACTGTGGAAGAAGAGAACTGCTTATCCTCCTAATACATCGGGACACATATAACTGTGGAAGAAGAGAACGATCAGACTTGAGAAGACTCGAGTTATGATTCTAAGAAGTCGCGAAACAGACCAATTATACAATGTACAACACATTTCACTTAATTTCCTGATTTTCAAGAAACTGGTAAAAATACTTAAAATCTCAAAATGTCATTTTCCTGTTCCATAGTATAATGGTTCCCACGATATAAAATATATGTTTGAATCTTCTTCTTTTATATAAAGATTCACAAACTTATTTTTAGACGATTTTTACAACAAAAAAATGGCCGAAAAAATTGAGGGAAATTAAGAGTGAACAAATCCATGAAGATAATATTAAAAGAGAAGTTGTTATCAGCAGTATATTTGATAGGATTAATAGAGAAGTTGTTATCAGCAGAAGTTGTTATCAGCAGTATATTTGATAGGATTAATAGAGAAGTTGTTATCAGCAGTATATTTGATAGGATTAATAGAGAAGTTGTTATCAGCAGAATATTTGATAGGATTAATAGAGAAGTTGTTATCAGCAGAATATTTGATAGGATTAATAGAGAAGTTGTTATCAGCAGAATATTTGATAGGATTTTAAAAAAAGGCTGTTGTGAATCATTTTCAATATTTGATTTCTATTAAGGAAAACTTTTCTATTCAAATTATTGTCATTTTGAAAAATAAAATTGTCTAACAAATTAATTTTTCTGCTTAAAATAAAATTATAAAAAATAAATATTCTTTGTGGTTTCGCCCTCTGCTGGTCTAAACAAATCAAATCAGATATAAGTAGGATGGCGTAAGGGCTCCTAAATGTGGGTTTGAGTTTCAAGTTTTGCCGACATCCGGGTTCTTCAGCCCGATCTCGACCAATATTTTGAAATGTATTACTCAAGGTTTTTATATCAGACATATTGCGGATTATGTTTAATTGATAGAACAGCTGAAATTACTCTACAGTGAAACCCTTAATAACAAATACATCGAAAGAATTCATCAAATGTCGTATTCTTCACTTTCTAATATGGGAATGTTGCAGATATTTAGTTTTTTTTACTTAAATGATTATATGGAACTCTTTAAAATTGTTATTTATTTATTTTCGCAAATACTAAAAATTACGTAATATAGTTTAAAACTCATTGAAAAATTGTCAAGACGACATTTGATAATTTTTTCCGATGTATTCGTTATTAAGGGTTTTACTGTAGGTTAGGTTTTACTTTGACAGATAAATAGGGAATTCTTATCTTTAAAGGACTGTAAAAGTGTAATTTCAAGTGCCCCTCTATTACAGAAAAATGGTATAAACGATTTACAACGTTACCATTAAAAGCTCTGTCAGATCAGGAATGAATAAATAAAAAAGCTATTCAAGGTTCTTTAAGTTTAAAATCTAATAAGCTTCAATTCGAGTTTCTGCTTACAGAAAACTGAAGCTGTTTTCCACGTTATTAATCAGATAAAGGTTCAAAGGGTTGAATCAGACACGCCCACTTAAAAGAAGGGTCAGTCCCTTAAAATACCTGTTTGGCACAGCCCAAACAGAACACATGCTTGCACGGTATCATCCGACCGTAGATAAGGATTGGTTTTAAGCACAGGTCACAACAATGGATCATAGGGTTCAGAACCTTCTTTCCAACCAGGTTAACCTTGGAAAATAATCAATCAATCTATCAGCTGATCGTTTGATCAATTAATCGATCTTTAAAGGAAATTACAATTAATTATTAAACTGTCTTTTCTTTTCCTTTCTTCCCAATTAATGCTTTGTTTCTTACTATATTTAATAAAATACTTAATCTAACGAACAATCAATCAGTTCAGTAATTAATCAATCAACTAATCCATCAATGATTAATCAATCAATTTATCTCAAAATCCATAAATGATTAAATCAATCAGTCGAGATTAGTTAATCTCATAAATGAAATAATGAATCGAACAATTCAACAGTAAATCAATGATTCAATGAAACATTAATCAAGATACACAGATCAAGGAACCAACAAACCAGCCACCTGTGCAACCAGCCAGTCTTAGTTACCTGGTGGTCCCATTCTAAAGCTTGCATTGAAGCCGGTATGTTCCTTTCTAGTGTAGAGAAGGTTGGAGCTTCCAGCTGCGAGATATCAGACTCCATATTGTAAGCTGCAGATACGACGGCGGCCATTTTAAATTCATGAATCTGAAACCACGTGGTCTTGTACAGAAAACACAATATATATGATTAGATAAATATAAATGTACAGTAAGATTTAAACATGTGCAAGGGGTTAAAATAAACATTAATGCCGCAAAAGATATGTAACATTAACCATTCTTATATTTTTGTTTATTTGTACCCCATGTACAAAGTACAATGTACGTTGTACACTGTACAAGTATATCAAGGAAAATATAAATATGTGAAAAAGTTATATCTAGTTCAAGCGAAGTTTTAACACAAATATCTTCATAGTACACTGTACAGTGAACTACAGTACACATTCTAAAACATGTATTTTAACAAACTAAATAATTGAAAATAATTTAATCTTAAAAATGTTATTTTTATCCTGTACTTTTTAGTTAAAACTAACACATTACAAGTCATGGAATTGAATCAAAACATTGATACACACAGTTTTCGTTTTAAAAAATAGTTAAAAAAATGAAATCAACTTAACTATTGTTCATCGTCTCCCAAATACATTTTATAATAATCTTTTAAACTAATCGTATCACACTAAATTATATAGATAACAGAATTATAATATCTCAATTTTTAGACTAGACTTTCAATAATTTAGCGGGAAAAATATAAGAATGGAAAAATTGACCTTATTGTAATTTAAAATAATCACAGGAATAATTACAATTCTTGTCTCGAAATTCTATTTTTTTTAAATTAGATCACGGCTCCTTGAATTTGACAAATATTTTTTATGACAACACAAGACATCAATGATAGTTAAGATTTAAAATTTTGAAAATATTTTAGATATATATTCTCTCTTTTTATTTTTGGCTACAATATATATTGTCAAAAATTTTGTTTCGGGTTCGTCAGATTGAGTATCATGAAATAGCATCATTTTCGCTCAAAGCAGCTTCCCCGAGAAGAGCATCTAATCGTTCTCCAAAGCTTTAAGAAGCATCAATTGGCTCATAAAAGTTTTAAAATAGTCCAAGAGGCATCTATTCACCTTCAGCTGATCCCAAAATCTGAAGAATGTAGATGAATAGAGTGATGATGTCCGAGTACAGGTTCAAGCTGGCGAACACGTACTCCTCCGGCGATATCGCGTACTAAACAAGAACATTCAAGATGACAAAAAATGTATATAACTGTATATGAAAAAATCAAGGTTTACTAGCTTTGAAGGGGCCGGGCACCGAGAAAATAAAGATTACTCCGCAGTTTGATTTAATTTTACTAAACAATAATAAAACGAAATTACATTTAGCTTCTTTTAATAAAATAATACTGAATTTTGTATTAATAGAAAGAAATTATAGTACTTATTGGGTTAGATGGACTGTAAGCGTAATTTTAAGTTACCCTAAATGCAAAGATTTCAAGTGACCCTCCATAAAAAGATTTTAGGTGACCCATCATGTAACGACAGCAATACCCGATTAACAACGGTATTATAAAAGCTTTGTCTCCTCAAGTTTGAATTAGATATCCATTTTTTTGTATCTAAAAACTGATTATTATCAATTTGATTTCTCTAAAAATTGAATTGCTCACATCTAGTGAAGGAATTATAAGATTTTAATACTTCATCATCTACCCGCATTATTGATCAGATAAAGGTGTAAACGATTACTGTTATAAATCGGGTAACCCCATCTTTGCATGGAGGATCTCCCAATATTACTTCAAAAAATTTGTTTCTGTTAATGTGAAATAAAAAGGACAAAAAAGGCCAAAAGCACAAACTATTAAAAAAAGGAAAAAACTAAAACAAAAAACCAGCAGATGAATTTTGTTGGATTAAACAAGGCAGACTTCACTCATATCATGTCAAAAATAAGTATTTTTTCATGCAAACATATATCAAAGCAAAATATATTTTAATGTCTATTTATAAAATCGTCCAACACTCGGCAGAAAACTTTTGGTTGTATCGAATCTATTAATCTGAGTGATATGCGACCTATCTTAAGTAACCTAGGGGGGGGGGGGGGCAATTGTAAAAATTGAAGCAATTGCCCACCCCTAGGACTTTTGGGGGTCAAACTTCTGAAAAATTCCCCCCCCCCCTCCCCTCCTCAAAAATTATATATTTGAAAAAGAAGTATGAGAATTAGATTCTCCCTTAAAAATAATTTTTCCCCCAATAAAACAATCTCAAAAAAAATATACTTATCTTCTGGGGAAATAAAATAATTTTCAAAAGTTAGAGGGGGGGGTTATTTTTCAGGAAATATACACCCCTGGATTAATAAAAGACCATCACCATTGTTAGTTCGCACTCTTCAAGCCTGGAGTTTTTTTAACAGTGCATGTAATTCGTTAAAACCTAAATTCTAAATCAGAAAAATTTTCAGCAATTTCCCTAATTCTTCCCGCCACGCCATGTTACAAATTAATTAAATTGCTCTTCAGAATTAATAAATATAATCGATTCTGAATAAATTAAGAAAGTTTAAAGGGACTGTAGTAGAGTAGACGAAATATCTGTTTAAAGGGAATGTAGTAGAGTAGACGAAATATCTGTTTAAAGGGACTGTAGTAGAGTAGACGAAATATCTGTTTAAAGGGACTGTAGTAAGTAGAGGAAATATTTGTTTAAAGGGACTGTAGTAGAGTAGACGAAATATCTGTTTAAAGGGACTGTAGTAGAGTAGACAAAATATCTGTTTAAAGGGACTGTAGTAAGTAGAGGAAATATTTGTTTAAAGGGACTGTAGTAGAGTAGACGAAATATCTGTTTAAAGGGACTGTAGTAGAGTAGACGAAATATCTGTTTAAAGTGACTGTAGTAGAGTAGACGAAATATCTGTTTAAAGGAACTGTAGTAGAGTAGACGAAATATCTGTTTAAAGGGACTGTAGTAGAGTAGAGGAAAATCTGTTTAAAGGGACTCTAGTAGAGTAGACGAAATATCTGTTTAAAGGGACTGTAGTAGAGTAGACGAAATATCTGTTTAAAGGGAGTGTAGTAGAGTAGACGAAAAATCTGTTTAAAGGGACTGTAGTAAAGTAGACGAAATATCTGTTTAAAGGGTGGTTTGTCAAATTCTCAGCAGTACCTTTAAATCCGGGGTGAATCCGATATACTCGTTTTTCTAGCTGAAGCTTGAAAATTGTTCTCTTTAAAAGTAATTTGCAGATTTATGCTAATAAAGGGAATTATCAATATTCAATACGATAGAAAACGACGATATCTTCTTTATTCTTGATCAGATATAGATTTTAAAAGTACCGTTGTGAATTTGACGTACTCATTCAGAGTTAAATGCCTTGAAATTACGTCTAAATTAGTTGGGCTTTAAAAGATTCTGATTCAGATCTAGGTCTTAATCACTTATTTGAAGGATTTAACCATCACCAACGTTAATTACACCTGAAAATGAAGATAAATCTTATTTTTTAGCTGCTCCAACAATCATAAGAATGTAGAGGAACAGATTGATGATGTCCAAGTACAGGTTCAAGCTGGCGAACACATACTCCTCAGGCGAAACCGCGTACTAAAGATTAGATGAGTTGGAAGTTGCATCACAAGGAAGACAATTTGAGAACTTGAAGTGTACTGCAGAAAATGTTGTAAAACAAGAACTGTGACAGGGTCTTAGCAGACGTGTGAGCACACTGTTTAATTGCTTCAACCATCATCTATTTTTTTTTAAACATATTGTTACAAATTAAAATTTGGAAAAATAAAAAACGTTAAAAAAACATTTAAGGACTTTCTAAAACTATCTAAAAGCCAGACTGACTACTTAAGCATGGATAACTATTTTATTATCATGAATGATTCCTTCTTGATCATGGATGATCAAAAATGATTACTTTATCATTATGGATGGCTCATAAATGATGACAATTGACTAATTTACGAACGAACATCAATGACTACTAGGTGATCATAGATGACTGCTTTATGATCATGGGCGACTACTTTATGATCTTGGTTGACTTCTTAATAATCATGGATGTGATGAAAACTATATCATCACAAATGGCTACTTTATGATCATGAAAAATACTATATTGGCATGGCTGACAACTTGATGCGCACGTCAACCATTTTTTCTACAACTAACTGACTTTTGACGTGTTAACTATTTAATCTCAACTGTCAACAAAATAATTTTAACACCGAACTAACAAAACTTAGTGCACATGACTACATACAACAGACCTTGTGTTTTCCTCCCATCATGAGCTGAGTATCGTAGACGATATACAAAGAGAAGATCAGAGCTCCAGCAGATCCATATCCGATCATTGTCCACCTAGATAGATAGATAGATAGATAGATCAATAAGAAGATAGATAGATAGATCTATAAGAAGATAGATAGATAGATGATGGATAGATAGATAGATAGGAAGATAAGAGCTCCAACCAACAAACCAACTTACCAACCAACCCACCCGACATCCAACCACCCCATAACCAACCAACCAACCAACACTTACTTAGTTTGAGGAAGGAAGGACATGATGATTCCTGCAATGATGAAGATTACAAGAACAGCACACAGAGCTCCTGTAATGAACAATGCTTTCAATTTCAAATAATGGCAAACTATCAAAAGGAGGGGGGTTATTTCCAATATTTTGGGAGAAAAAATTTAAAAAGTGGACATCACAAGGAAAGTTTTTTCATCCTTTTGAATACTTTCCACCCAAAAATCTATTTATTTCAATTCAGTGATAAAACCCTAAAAAACCTGACTTTTGGGAAAATGTCTTTCAAAAGCAGGAATTCTTTTTATGAAAATATATACCCCTAGGCCGCCTGGAGATATAAACAATTTTTAAACCAAGCTGCGAACATTCCAAAGTTCTGGCCCGCCACCAAATCAAAAAATTGAGGCAAATTCGTCAGGGGGTTTACGGGATACGGTCGAATATACATTGTACAATCATACAAACAGAGATTACTACTTTAAGTAAATGAACTACATATAGAGATACTTTTGAATCATCGTTCATCATGAATCATCATATTTCAAAAATGAAGTGGCCATTTTGTTATGTTGGAAACTTAATCTTACTGACCTCCACACGTGGTGAAATCGTATTTGGTTTGGAAAGCGAAGACTGTCAGAGCAAAGACGACACCGCAAGTGATTCCAACGGCTATGATGACAGCATCAACCTAATTAGAAAAAAAACTATTTTTTAATAAAATTTAAACTTTTAAAATTCAAAACCTTTTTGAGAAGAACCCCATTTAAAATTGAAGTGTGAATTGAAAACCTACAGAATGTGAAAAATAGGTAACCCTGTGTAGTGTGTACACTGATCAGTTTAGAACATCACAATTGTATAGTGTACATTTTACACTGAACAATGTACAATAGAACAATTGGCAGAAAAACTTACGTCGTAGAATGTAGAAACTGTGCCAAGCATAATTCCTTCACAAACTAAAAAATAAACATTTTAAATATTTTCCACACTTTTTAACTTAAATTATTCTTATTCTTTTTCTCTCATGCTCTTATGCACTATATTTTATAATCCTCACAGAACCTCTTTATCTACACTAGGTATACATTTTTGAGAAACATTTTGGGAAAGAATAAAAAAATTCTTCACAAGCAAGTTTTCCATCTCTTATTGATACCTTTTATCCATAATTCATTTATTTCCCAAATAATTCATTTATTCAAAATCATAACTTTTGTCTAACGTTACTCAGTTATATGGGTCTCATTGTACTGAAACCTGTGAAGATGAAGAGGAAGATGAAGTTGGTTGGGGCCTTCCTCCTGACAGACTCGCAGCAGGCCATGGCGATCAGGCAGACCAACATCACGCCCATACTTGTCAGGTACACCCACATGTTCCTCTGCACATACCTAGATAAAAGCAAATAAAATTGTCTTTTAAAGCAAAAGTGCAATGTAATCTACATATTCAAAAATAACTCAAAACTAAATGAGATAAGAAAAAACGCAAATTTACGAAAATATTAATTTACTAAACTTTTGAGGAGCTTTGCGCCCCCTTCCCTGTAACTTATTCTAGCTTTTAAATGTTGCTCTAAAATTTGGCTATTTTATATCATTTTCAAATGGCTGATTTTTCTTTTTGATTTGGCGCATTTACAAAAAAAAAATATTTTCCATGATTTATTTCCAATTTTATGTTCCATAAACTTTCCCTGGGCTTATGTGAGACCCAACACAAAATTTGGCCCGGTCGGTTCAGCCGTTTTGACGTTTTTTGGATACATAAGGACATACAGACAGACAAACAAACACCAAGACAAGCAAAGTAAATATATAAAAGAAAAGTTTTTTGTAAGGAATTAAAAATTTTGCCTCTAAACCATACTTTTCTATTAAAGAAGGTGGAGCTAATTTTAGATGTTTTATTTCATAAATAATGTCCATAAAAAATGTCTGCTAGTAAATGATGTACTAACATCTTGACTAAATGACAGAACATGAATACTTACATCTTGATAGGATGACAAAACAAGAATACTTGCATCTTGACAGGATGAAAGAACATGAATACTTACATCTTGACAGGATGACAGAACATGAATACTTACATCTTAACCAGATGACAAAACAACAATACTTACATCTTGACAGAATGACAGATGACAGAACATGAATACTTACATCTTGACAGGATGACAGAACATGGAATATAGAATACTTACATCTTAATAGGATGACAGAACATGAATACGAACATCTTGACAGGATGACATAAACTGAATGAACTGAATACAAACATCTTGACAGGATGACAGAACATGGACTATTGAATACTTATATCCTGATAGGATGACAGAACATGAATACTACCTTCTTGACAGGATGACAGAACATGAATACTTACATTTTGACAGGATGCCAGAACATGAATACTTATATCTTGACAGGATGACAGAACATGAATACTTACATCTTGACAGGATGACAGAACATGAAGAGTGCAATGAGAGCTCCCGTGAGAACAAGCTGAGATGTAAGTATCCCGTACACCTGAAAACCAGATGTAGTGTTAGCAACAACAACTACAAATATTTGTAAAACTAACAACTACAAATATTTGTAAAAGGCTTTGATTATTTTTATTCTTAAAGAAAATCATAAGATTTTTCTGATTATTTCAACAACGTCTAGAAAAGTAATTTTTGGAAATACAACCCCATACCTGATGAGATTTTGTGAGTGTACTAGATCGATAATGAAAACTAATTCAAATTTAGCAATATGATGATTCAAATTTTTAAACTACATCATATAAAAACCATGCGTCACTCAAAAGAATTATTTCAGCCGGATATATAATCTTAAATATAAAGGACAGTTCAGTATATCATCAATTATTAATCAAAAATTAAGTGAATAGAGTGCAACCCTTGAAGAGACTGTAGACGTCATTTCTAATGCTCTCAACTTATTGCGTGGCATGTCCGATTCACACAAGTCACCTTTAAAACTGTGTCTGATCAAGACCGCATGAGATATCAATCATTTTTTCTTTCAAAAATTGGTTGTTTTTAATTGTGGGTTTCCTTAAGGTGAAGTTTAGATTTCTGCTTCAGAAACCATGGAGGAAATAGCAAGAATTGCAAGTTTTCAAGCTAGAAAAACAATGGTATCTTCCACAGTATTCAACAAATAAACTTGTAAAAGAGTACCGTCGTGAATCGGTCCACTGGCATCCCCGGCCTTTATACATGAATTTTATATATTACCTTCCTAATGAATCCTCTACGGATTGCCTTGTCATCGAACCCCATCCCGTCCACAGGTTCATCCGACCCTACATAGTCGTAGTTCGTCTCCTTCAGTATTCCACCTTAACACAGGGGTGTTTATTTTCATGAAAAATCATTCCCCTCCCCCCTCTTTAGGAAATAATTGTTGCCCTTGAAGTAGGGTATGAATACGCGGAAAGTAAACAAATGTAAGGGTTTTCTCTGAATCAGGGAAAATAAATGAATTTTTAGGTTAAATGATCAAATAAGGATGAAAAAAACTTGTCTTTTAACCCCAGTGCATCAAATATAATTTACCCCCATCCCCCAAAAAAGGCGTCTTGGATTTAAAAAGCAAGTTTTTTCGACAATGCCTCCAGTAGGAAAAAAACAATAGCATTAATCTACTTACTAGCTTCATTCTGGTGCATTGGCGGAAACGGAGTATCCTGTGCCGAATATCCTTGCTGAGGCGGATATCCTTGCTGCGGCGGATACATTGGTTGTGGATATCCCTGCTGTTGTGGTGGATATCCGGTAGTAGGTTGGGGCTGATACCCAGGCTGCTGCGGCGGAACATAAACTGCTGCCTGCAAAAGAATTCAATCAATATATTTTTAAGATCACATTTTCCCCTAGACCCCCCTCTCTCTCTCCCACTAAACTTTACCAACCTGCAGCGCCCAGAAGAAATGTTTTCTCAAGTCAAATCAAATTATCAATTTCTTAGAATATCAAGAGGAAAGAGGTTTTTCAAGAGGACAGTGTTTTACATCAAAGCACTTTGAGAAAAACCAATATTTTAGCATAATACAGACCCAAATCTTAAAAAATCCAAAAATCGTTCTCAAGGACTGACCCGGAATCTATCCTTCAGGTACTGTTAGCTTATGTGGTACAGGTTATTTTCTTCAAGTTTAAAAAGTTTCTAATAAATGATATGTCAATTTCTATTTGTATGTGAAAGTGTGGGTCTGTCCTAGAGATTTTTGGACCCACCCCCCTTCTATCAATTTTGTACATGATCACTTATTTTTCAGCAAAATTGATATTATCTATTTTTATTATTTTAGGGTTAGAAAAAGTTAAGACAATTTCTGGGCCGAGCCCTGCGGTATATTCCTAGAGAACGTAAAATTGTTCCTAGGAAATTACCGAAAGTCTAATATAATTTCTAAGATTTTGAGAAAAGAAAAACTTAACATGCGGATGAAAGTTCTTACCGGAGGGTAAGGCAGGTTAGTTTGGTTTTGGTTTCCAGGATAGGGCGGTGGGTGATCGCCCATTTTTGATTATTTTATTTTCCTCTGAAAAAAAAACAAATTTGCAACCATTATTTCCAATTTTAAAAAACAAAGTTTATATGTTTATCAATAGTATTTGGGGACTATACGTGATTAAGTTGAAAGTGCAAACAATAGCAGTTGATATTGATAACATATTTCATTCAAGTTGTGGTTTGAAAAGTCTGGAAATTTTGCACTTGTTGAATTATATAATTTAAATCTATCGTTAATTCTCTTTATTTTCATCTGATCATAAATCAATTAGCGAGACTTATTACAAATAAGATAAGAAAATTCACAACTTATCACACACATTGAAGAAATTGCGCAATTTTCTATTATGAATCACAATTTGTGTACACTCATTAACTGGTCCTAACTGCTCCTCTTTCCGACACGGAAAATTCGAGGCTTCGTATTAGATCATGCATTCAAAACAGGGGTTGAGGAAGTTTTTAATAAATTTACATTTTTCCTTATGTTTCTTATAAAACTTAAAATTATGCTTTAAAAAATTCTGGAATTTTATATATTTTGTAATGATGCATCCCTGAGTTTTTGGAATGAAAATCATAAAGACGACATTCGTAAAAGTATTTAAATAAAATAATTTGAACTCATAAAGGTTTCGATGGTGTATTTTTGGACCTACGCCCATCCCCTCTACTGCCCATCCGACCTACAACCACGTGGTTTTAACAGCTGTGGTAGGTCCGATGCACTGTAGGTCGGATGGGCACGTTAAAAACAGCATATTGGTGCATCCGACCTACTTTAAGCTGTCGCTTGGACACTAACGCGTTATGTAGGACTGATGGGCCTTTTTTGTAGGTCGAATGGGCATTTTTCGTAGGTCGGATGGGCATTTTTCGTAGGTCGGATGGGCACTTTTCGTAGATCGGATGGGCACTTTTCGTAGGTCGGATGGGAATTTTTCCCCAACAAACAAAACACAGGTTTTTAACGAGATTAGCATGATGGACTGGTCGATAATTCACGTGATTAATTCACGTACCCTTAAGTGTTATACTCGTGGTAAATCTACTTCTCACAATGATTCCTCCTGTGTACAGCACGGGTAAAAAACGCGAAAATATTCTTTGAAAATTCTCGTCGTTATTTCGCATGTTGTACACGTAGCAAAATAAACCAGTGTAAAATCTTGCATATTCCTATCGTGTTAAACTCGAGTAATGCAATGCCAGAATTTTTAGATTTTAATTCTCGTAATTCCCAGCTGGAAAATTATTTTTTCTTTCCACCGTTTTCTTATTTTCTACTGTGATCGGAACTCTTTTTTTCATCCGCAAATGTCTTTTTGTGGAGCTCCGGTGTCATGCCTGCAGAGAACTCGTACCTGCAGCGGACTCATGGTTATGCTACGCGGCAAAGCGCAAGTTTCTGGAAATGTAAACAAACAAGAAAAATTCGATTTATTCGAGTTTACGGCTAATTTTCCGTAATTGATCCGTCGTTTTAACGCAAAGGGTCTGTCCTAGAACCCCCCCCTTAGGTTGACAAATAAACGCAGCAAATTACATCAAAAATCAAGACGACATTCAAGTCGTCTTGCATACTGTCATGTTTCGCGGAAACTAAAAGTTTATTGTAGTAAAATGAAATATTTCAATGAACTGACATAAATTTTTCCGATTATAACAAGCATGAGCAGAGTATAGAAAAGTTTCACATTGAATTTTGTATTGTATTTCTCAACAACCCCTTTTTAATGGAATATCGAAATTTTAGATATACAGGAAGGAGAAGAATTCTTACATTTATAAACACATTAACATATTTGAACATTATTTAGACTTGAAATATCACTTTGTGATATGAAAAGTTTAAAGTTTACATGTTCAAGATGTTTAATGTAAAAGATATAAACTAAAATGTTTAGTTTCTAAACATTTTGTAATAATTATATTCTTTTACACAATATATTTATATATCAGAAATCAATTGTATCCCCCCCCTTTCCCGGGGTTTTTAAAAATGTAATTTAATTAGATGGGAGAAAAATTATTTTCCCATGTAAAAATCCCGTGTTCATCTCGTAAAATAAACTCAGGTTTTCACAGGGTAAAAACTCGGTCCTAGACCGTGATCGAATCGTCGACAATCACCTCGACAGCACGTGAATTATCACGGGATAATGACGGGTCACTCGTGTGAAATACACCAAATAATCTTGTGTTCTTCACGGGTTTTTGTTTGTTGGGTCGTAGGTCGGATGGGCACTTTTTCGTAGGTCGGATGGGCCCACTTTTCGTAGGTCGGATGGGCATTTTTCGTAGGTGGGATGGGCAATTTTCATAGGTCGGATGGAGGTTTTTCGTAGGTCGGATGGGCACTTTTCGTAGGTCGGATGGGCATTTTTTGTAGGTCAGCCCAGACATGTGGCTGCAGCGCTCGGCCCCCTAGCCTGTCCTAGCCGCAGCGCTCGGCCCAGAAATGAGCTTAACCTAACCTAACCCGAAATAAACACAAATTTTATTAAAAATTGTGAATTGAAAGTCATTCAAAAATGCCCATCCGCCCTACTAAAAGTGCCCATCTGACCTACAAAATTGAGTGGCTGTCCGACTCTACAATTAATTATTTCATACCCTACTGCGCTATAGGCATATGACAAAAGCTGCTGATAGGTCGGATGGGCAAGAAGATATGCCCATCTGACCTACAGCTGTCGTAGCTGTCTGATGTTGCAGTAGGTCGGATGGGCAGTATAGCGGATGGGCAATAGGACGAATGGGCAGTAGAGCGGATCAACATTACCAAAGGTTTCATCAAAACTAAAGTACTTTTGCACTAAAGGATCAGCTGATCAGTAACCGGTTTTTAGTAGGATCGAACATTAGTGCAAATGAACAATAATCGGGTTTTCTGTGTTCAAATGGACAAAAATTTTATTTTCCCGCTGCAGGAATATTTTATTTTCGCGCCAGGAATATTGATTGTACAAATGATCATTAGCCCAGCTAACATTAAATCTTCGCCAGAGTTGGTTTTCCGCCGTCGTAAATGCGATGGCGGGGGGTACACTGTACCGCAATAGTATATACTATATGTCCCCGCCATAGTGCAATTGTCGCAGTTTCGATGGCGGGGAATTCTGAACCTCTGTAGTAGAAACAAAATTTTCCCCGACATTGTATAATTGTCGTATATACGACTTCGGAAATTCTGAACCGCTGTAGTATATATACAAAATTTCCCCCGCCATAGTACATCTGTCGTATATACGATAAATACACCGCTGTAGTAGTAAATCCGACAGAGTAGACTAAATTAACGATATCAGATATATTAACCGTTATTTCATGTACCGGCAAGGCTTCGAATTACTCAGGGGGGATTATAGGATTTTTAAACTTGACTTAACTTTAACATCATAGTTTTTAGAAAAAGGGGCTCCCCCACCCCCCATAAAAAAATCCTGTAGTCACCCCTGAGTATGGTAGTAGTACGCTGACAATTCGGTGAGAAAGTCTACGATGTAGTATGTTGAATTCGGTGACATTTTTGCCGATATAGTATATTGATATCGGTGTATACCTCTCCGATATCGAATGTAGATTTTGGTGAAGAAGTCATCGCTGTAGTATATACTTCAAAGCACCGATGTCGAAATGTAGATTTTGGAGTTCATTTGTGCGCTGTCGCATGTACGATTTCGTATATACGACAGATCTGGGTGTGATCCTTTTACTATACCGCCAAGACCGACATCGAACCAGGTGATCGGAGCTCCGCCCAACTCCAGCGAAGCTTGTCGTAGAACGAGGCGGTATAACCGCCGTCGGTCTTTATGTTAGCTGGGAGTGCAATTGATTTGGAATACTAAAAATATTTGTTTATGCGAACTAATTCTTTTTTCTGTAAATATCAGTGCAATTGAACGTTCAATCTTCAATTTCAATATTTAAGCATTTTTTGTACTGCATGTAAAAAAACGAAAAATTTCGTGGACTTTATTACAAAAACATTTGTGGATTTCAAAAGTGAATTGAAAATTTTATGCTATTTTTTCTTCATTGAACAATTTTTTTGTTTTGAATTTTTTTTGTCCAATTTGAACTTAAGTCCAAATTTTTGAACTATTTTTTATGTCCATTTAAACTATTTTTTTGTCCATTTGAACAATTTTTATGTTCATTTGAACTATTTTTATGTCTTTCAACAATTTTTATGTTCATTTGAACTATACATTTAATATGTCCATTGAACTAAATTTTTAAATCATCCATTCAAATTCGAACAATTTTTATGAATCCATTTAAACTATTTGTTTGTCCATTTGAACTATTTTTAAGTTCATTTGAACTATTTTTATGTTCATTTGAACTATTTTTATGTTAATTTGAACTATTTTTATGTCAGTTTTAACTATTTCAACTATATTTTTTGTTCATTTCAACTTTATTTTTGTTCATTTTGAACTATTTTTTGTCCATTTGAACTATTTTTTTGCCCATTTGAATTATTTTTATGTCCATTTGAACTAATTTTTTGTTCATTTTTACTATTTTTATGTCCATTTGAACTATTTTTATGTTCATTTGAACTATTTTTTGTTTATTATATAATATCAATAGTTCAAATGAACTAAAAAATAGTTCAGAGCATTAAATAAACACGTTTTAACTATTGTTCATTTCAACTATTCACGAGGTAGCACCCCAAGTAACCAAAGTTAGGAATTTTCTGAGATTCTCCACCATTGGTGACTTTTTTAAAGAATTTTCGAGGAATTTTTTTGAGATTCATTTCCTGTTAGTAACTAATTCCTCGGAAATTCTTGAGAAATTCCCCAGAATTGGTCCCCAAGATGAGAGATTTTTGTGGGATCACAGTTTTGAGACTCAATTTTTCCCCACAAAATTCCTCAGAATTTCTCCGGAATACTTCTCCGGAAATTCGTGAGAAATTCTTAGGACTTGGTCACCATGTTTACGAATTTTTAGGGGAATTTATTAACTGAATTAGTTTCAAAAAATTTCTGGGAATTTCTCCGGAATTTTACCCCAAGAAAATCCTGAGAATATCTCCTGATTACTTCTCCGGAAATTCCTGAGAAATTCTTAGGACCAGGTCACCATGTTTACGGATTTTCAGGGGAATTTAATAATAGAATTAGAGAATTTCACCCCAAGAAATTCCTGAGAAATTCCCATGAATGCTTCTCCGGAAATTCCTGAGAAATTCTTAGGCCTTGGTCACCAAGTTTACGGATTTTTTGGAAAATTGAATGAGAGAATAAATTTTGAGAAATTCCCGAGAATTTCTCTGGAATTTTACTCAAGAAATTCTCAGGACTTTTCACAGAATTTCAAGTTCCGTTTTTCTCTTCTATTCTGTTATGCACTGCCATAACTAAATCTTTTTTCTGTGCATCCTTATTGATAAAAAATGATAATTTACTTTAGAACCATCTTTTTAAAAAATATTTTGAAAATTTTTTTTCATTTTTTTATTTTTTCTTGACAATTTAGTTGTCTGAATAAACAAAATACATGACAACTTCAGTAAGATCAAAAACGACTATAACATTCTGACTTAAGAAGATGGTTTTACTTCTAAAAAGTTGGAGGGGCAATATAGTTATTCACTATTATTGGGCCTAAGTCCTGGTTAGTGAATTTACTCAGGAATATGCTGAGAATATTTCAAGATATTCCTGAGGAACTCTTGAGAAAATCTTGGGAATAGTTCCCAGGAAATTCCCAGGAATGGGTTCTGAAGAACTTTTCGCTGGAAATTCCCAAGAATCTCCACAAATTTTGACAACATTTTCTACAGTTTTTCTGCAGAATTTGTAACAAGAAATTCCTTGGATAGAGTTATGAGAATTTCCTCAGAATGGGTTACAAGAAATTCCTTGGACCTGGTTCCTCGGAATTTGTTATTAGAAATTCCTCAAAATAGCTGTCGACATTTTCACCGGATTTTCCTGTGAAAGATTTCTGGAAATTTCCGCGGATTTTCCGCAAAATTGTTACTTGGGACGTGCATTAGTTCATAAGAACAATAGTTCAAATGAACAATAATTAAAATGGGAGTAATTCAAATGGGATAGCATCATTTGAATGTGCCTTGAAAGTACTATTATTAACCACTCTGATTGCCTTTTTTTTGCAAAGATCTGATTTTTTACAGTTTATAGTTGTAAACCCCTCCCCAAGTAACAATTCCATATTCAATACGAGGCCTCACAAGAGAGTTGTAATTAAGTAGACGAATGTTTAATGGTGTGTTACAACTGGGGCGACTCTTTGTCCTTTTTAGTTTTAATAATGACCTTCTGACGGAAGGGTTCTGTTGAACGAATCTTCCTTCTTGAGAACTCTTTACTTCTCTTGAATGCTCATTGGTTGTGGAATCGTCCTTGTACACGCATTGATACCTTTAAAAAATAAATATTTATATTTCTAATTTCCCAATTAATTTACTTTGATTGTAAAGAATCTCTCGAAATGCCTGGTGTACTAAAGTTTTCCTGGTAACGTTGGTAGCTTGACCTTCAAAAACATTTCGTTTATTATTACGGGTTAATCTTTTTGATAAAAACCAGTTTCTTTTAGTTTTATTATAATTACTTTGAATATGAAGGATTCTGTCTATATTCTTCTTCAGTCATCTCTGTTCATGCTCTTGGTTAAGATGTGTAGAAAAGGGTGCCCTTCCAGCAAGTCCCTTTTAAGAAGAATAGAAATACTCTGCAACATCTTTATATAATCCTTGTCGTATTTTCCGCTTCGTTTTATAGATTATTTTTGAGTAAATGTTCTTCTTGAACATTATAGTAAAAGACGACGATATTTAGGTGCTTATAAAGATTCCTTTTATCAAATTGTGGAATCAATGAATAGTGAATACCCATTTGTTATCCTTGAATTCATAGTTCTAACAACTCTTCAGTCCACATATAATTTTTTTAAAACTATTACTTAAAGTAAAAGTAGCCAACTGTCCTGTAAAAAGGACAGTTAGCTCGAAAAATACATTCTGATCATTAATAGTGCTATGGTGCCTGCTCATCATGGCTATCAACTGGCTCAACTAAAGAAAAACTCAAAAAACTTTCAATACTTTCCTAAAATGATCATCCTAGGTTACTTTAGTTTCGAGCAAAAATGGAAAACAAAACTACAAAAACCTAGCCAGCCCGTTAAAATTAAATGTTCCAAAATTTTATATTGAGTTACAATTAATTATCAACACTCCAAATTAAAAAATACTTAAAAAGTCAATACAAAAGCCTTTACAATCCAATCTAGTGAAGGTGGATAAGGTTGCTGGAGTGATGACGAAGAGACCAGGCTGGAACGGATTCACCAGTATAATAAATTGGTTTATTAATTATGTTAATTTAGCGGAATGTGCCAAGCATTTTGTAGTAAATGAAAAACTAAAAGTTAACAATCATGCTTAAAAATGTAACACCCTTTGTAAATATTGATAATAGAAGGGTTTTGTTTATTTTCAGCCAAATATGCACTACAAAAATATAGATAATACACCTTCATGACAGTAGTGCAAACCTAGCTGCTGGAGATTATGGTTGGAAGAAAATGTTATAAATATCTAAGATTACTGTTTACATCAGCATTGATTGTTGTGTTCATAGCATTTACAACTGTATCCATTCTTAAATATGCTACTCGTACAAAGGTTATATGTTTTTAAAGTGAAATTTTAAAAAAATCAATTTATGATTAAAGTTAATATGTTAATATGTCACCTATGTTACCCCCATGGGTTCCCTTAAGAACTTTAGGCCAATTTAGTTCAGCCGTTTGGCCAGCTATAGCTAAAATATATACAAAAATATATTTATATACAGTATTTTCAACTTTTTTCAGTTTAAATATACATTTTAGATGTTTAAATATATATTTTTTCCAAGACAAAATGTTTCATGGGTCTAATCCAAACATCAGTTGGAATAAAACTGATATTGGAGCATTTTTTATAAGGATTTCACAGATTTTTACAGAATGTGATAATAATTGTTTTACATTGAAAGTGATACATATTGTTTTACTTTAAAAAAATCTGATTGAAATGACAGTTCATAAACTTCTCCTCAGGTCTTGTAACATTTTCTAAGTAGGAATTTCTCTCAGTGCCTGCACTTGTTCATTACTTCGCTTCTTTCATTCAATAGGTTTGCATCCTCGGATAACAATATACAAGTTTTTTCCATCAGACAGAGATTGCACGTTTTTGTGACAGGATTATATGGGTTAGCTCTACTAACTATTGACCAGGATCTTGTAAATGGTTCATTTATCTTCTTTAGGCGCCAGATATGCTTGGATAAACCAGTAATATATTCATATTTAAGATTATTAAAGGATAACATGTGATTAGCATATCTCTCCTTGAACGAATTTGCAGCTATACCTGTATAACTTGTAGTCATCCCAGTTGACATCACTTCTGCTTTATAAACCACGCCTTTACTCAAACATTTTCCATTTAGAACACAATTTTCTGTTCCAGCACGACAATTGCAATCTTGGACATTTTTATTATTATAGTAAGATTTATTCACACACAAAGATATAAATACATATATAAATGGTGTAGTTTAAATTTGTTTAAATAAATTTTTTTTGAAAATACAGGTTTCCAAAAGAAAAGAGAAAAAATATGCAAAATTATGCAGAAATAGAAAACATTAATTTTTACTTACTACATAACATATTTATCATTTCAGTTATTACGTAATCATGGAATCCTTATAAATTTTTCATTCTTGTATTTAAAAGTTCTTGTAAAACCGGAACTTTCCATGCATGTTCTAATGGGACATCAAAATATTTCAATTGTTTCTTAACTAACATTTTACTAAGATCCGAAGGATTTACAGAAAAATCATTTGCAATAGAAAATAAGTTTCTGCCAAGAACTGTGTTGAGGTCATTTTTACATAAATTAGAAAGAAATCTAATGCAAAGCTTAGAACTTGCTTCAATAGTCTCATAGAAAGACACACATCTGCTAGCTAACATAGTTTTTACATGTAAACATTGTGAAATACTTTCAATCAAGTACCTATGCGTATCTCTAGGTATATTAAAAAGAATTCTAATAGCAGTATTCCATGCTGTTTACAATTTTGAAACACATTGGGAACTCAAGTCTCAAATACTAGATCTATAAAAACTACAACAGTAAATATTATACAGTTTCAAAATAACATCAGGACTGTTAAAATAAAATTCTTGGTCAAGGGAATGAATTGATGATGAAAATAGCTGGTTTTTTATTGCAATCTATGGTCATTGAATTATCACTTTGCAGAACATTTCCTAAATGTTTAAAGTCGTTTACAAATGGTAAAGGTAATTCATTCAATAAAATTGGGGTTATTTCATTATAATTAATCCTTTCTTTAGAAAAAATAAGGCATTTAGATTCGAATATTTGTACTAAATTTCAGTTTACCCAAGTAACAATTTTGTCATGTATTTTGTTTATTCAGACAACTGAATTGTCAATAAAAAATAAAAAAAAATGTTTTAAAATTTTTAAATATTTTTTTAAAAGATGGTTCTGAAGTAAATTATCATTTTTTATCAATAAGGATGCAAAGAAAAAAAGATTTAGTTTGAGCGTTTAAAAGAAGAGAACCTCAGAGACACCTATTGGTGAAAAACGGAACTTGAAAATTCTGTGAGGAAGTCCTGAGAATTTCTCAGGAATTTCCGGAGAAATATTCCTGAGAAATTTTTAGGAATTTCTTGAGAAAAATTCCTGAGAAATTCTCAGGAATTTCTCGAAACTTATTCTCTCATCTAATTCCCGAAAAATCCGTAAACTTTTTGACCAATTTTTAAGAATTTCTCAGGAATTTCCAGAGAAGCATTCCGGAGTATTTCTCAGGAATTTCTTGGTGTGAAATTCTGGAGAAATTCCCAGGAATTTCTGGAAACTAATTCTTTTATCAAATTCCCCTTAACATCCTTAAATGTGGTGACCAAGTCCTAAGAATTTCTCAGGAATTTCCGGAGAAGTAGTTAGGAGAGTTTCTCAGGAATTTCTTGGGGTGAAATTCCGGAGAAATTCCCAGGAATTTTTCAAAACTAATTCTCTTAATAAATTCCCCTAAAAATCCGTAAACATGGTGACAAAGTCCTTAGAATTTCTCAGGAATTTCCAGAAAATATTTCTGGAGAATTTCTGAGGAATTGGTGTGGAGAAATTCCAGAGAATTTCTCAGGAATTTCTCGAAACTGAGTCTCAAAACTGTGATCCCACAAAAATCTCTCATCTTGGGGACCAATTCTAGGGAATTTCTCGAGAATTTCCAAGGAATCAGTTACAGGAAATGATTCTCCAGAAATTCCTTGGAAATTTCTTAAAGAAAGTCACCAGGGTTGGAGAATCTGGGGAAATTCCTCACTTTTGTTACTTGGATAGTAGCTATGGCAAAATTTTCACAAATTTTCACCATTTCCTGAAGACCTGTTCTGCTAGGAGAAAGCAGAATAATATCATCTGCATATACCCATATGCCCAAATAGACACCCTGAATTTGGCATCCAATTGTTGAACATCGTAATAACTTGATAATTTTGTCAATGTAAATACAGAATAGCACAGGGGAAGAAACTGCTCCTTGTCTGACTCCATTTTGTACATTGAAGGTATTTGAGAACGCATTACCCCATCTAACATTACATTTTTGATTTGAGTAAATGAACATTAAACACTTTAATGCTAGAGGTGAAACAACCCTCTCCAATAACTCTGTGAAGAGCACTTCCCATGACACAAGATCAAATGCCTTACTCAGATCCATTGCACTAGCATAAACTGCTCTATCAGCTCTGTTGTAATAATCCACTACAGAGTTGGCCCCCTAGCTGCACATTGTAGTACTGGCTAGCTTCTGAAAACCAAATTGAAGTTCATCTGTGGTCAGCTTATCAGAGTTTAGAATTAATATCAACCAGTCAAACCATTTTAGAATCAAGCTGCCAATGGCAATTGCCCTGTAATTGTCATCATTGCAATAACTCCATCTTCTTCTCTATTGCTGACATTCTCTCATCCATCATTGCATTTGAGGTGTCCTGAAATGCCTTGACACTAAACTCACTATTTGTCAAAAACTTGGGTATTTGGAAATTGAAAGGAACTGTCACCACAACATTTCCATGCCCAGCTTTATCAATTTTCGATATCTTTTCCCAGAGATCTAGAAAAATGGTAGATATCTTTCGTTTTTCTTGGATATTTCCCTCTGTATCCTGCAGTTGAAAAGCTTGATAAAAATTTGATCTAGAGTTCTTCATCTGTTCCAAGGAGAACTCTCGACTAAGTGTATCCAGAACACAGGTTTTAACAGCAACTCTATCAAAAGAATAAAACATTGATCCTAAAATTCCATCAACTAGAATCATTTCCCCAGACCTTGTATCTTTATAAAGGAAGCCTTGATGACTGACTTGTTCATTTACAGTGGTCTCACTGTCCATTTCCTCCAGGGAAGTATCTAAAGAATTATCCAAGGATTTTTTGGCTTTTGGCCACAAGATTGGCGAAAGCCAGATTATATCTAGAATCTTCCAGAATTCTATGAATGTACTTTAAAGTTGTGTGTAAGCCTTGAATTGAGAAAGCAGTGTGAAATTGATTGGATTTAAAGAAAGATTTTACTCAAAAGTTTCTTATTATGTCCAGAAAGAATTGCTTCAATATTTGTCTTACAAGAATAAGATACTTTAATCGTTGATCTATTAAAGTATTTTCTCAGTTCTGGTTTTCCAAAATATTTCTTAATCAAACTTAAGAACTTTTCCTCTACTTTTGTCTGTACTGTTTCACTAAAAGGAGGATTGAACCAAATAATTTTTTTTTGATCTTGTTTTATTTTTATCCCTGTTTTAATCAGATGGGTTAAATTCTAGGCTTTCCGTGTATCCTGCTTGATGTAGTGCATCCATATAGGGTTTTGATTCATTCTCAACAACTTCTCTGGAATATAATAAATTAGAAACTCTTTCTCCAATCATTTTTGGAAGTTTTATTTTATAGACCTGGGATGGTTTGACTTGACATTGATGTAAACAGGAATCTCATTGTTTTTTTCTGTACGGTTTAAAACTTTCTTTTTTTAGATCAAATTAAACATCCAAGAATTCTGTTACTGTAACATTTCCCTCTATTGTAACCTTGAGTTTACAATCTTTAAAGATAGAAAACATTTTCTTCCTAATTTTTTCAATCTCTGGTCCTGATCCTTGTACAATAAATATACATATGACCAAAGGGCTTTACAGATATTTGTATGGTATATAATATTCTATAACTAACTTGGGAGCCCAGTTTATCCTTAAAAACTACAACTTTAAAAGTCAACCAACTAAACTATAAATTTTTAAACCAAGTTAAGAACATTCCTGTGGTGTTAACAAGTTCCCCAATTCCATATACTATATTAGATATTAAATACTTTTTGAAATTAAATTTGTTAAAAAAATGTTCTACTCAAATATATTTTACTTTGAAATCAACTTAATGTTTCGCACAATACATAAAGATCTAGAAAAGCTATCTGTATTCAGTCATTCACAGAGAACTTTGCTGATGATTTTCTGAAGAATATATCTCCACCTACATTCTCATTCTGTCCATTCGATCCTGTACAATATACAGCATGGGGAAATTTGTAAGTAGACGTTTATATCAATACAATGAAGACGACTTTTCTATTTTGGTTCTTATTTCAAACAAAAAATTCAAATAATAAGTTTATATGGAAACAAAGAGAAGCTGTTAATTGATAGCTTCTCTTTGTTTTCCTATTTATATTTATCCATTCTGTAATAAGGCTTGGTAAGAATAAAAAATTGATTTCGTTGTCTTCATTGTATACAAAGACGACTGAAGAAAAGTGATAACAATTACAGGAAACATTTGACCGTATCTATATTAATAAATAGTCAGGCGATGCTGTTGTTTAATTATACACTTCAAAGTGTGATATTTTAAGCAGTGATCCGGATCCAGATCCAATATAACTAGATCAATGAGCTATAATGTTGCAGATATCTTCAACATTATAGCTCATTGAATAGGGATCCACAAAAATATCTGAATTCAAGTGGAAACTTTTATACCACGCAAAACATTGAATCTTCAAATGGTAAATCAAGTTAAGAATCCAGATTCTTTATTTTAAAGGATTCAAATCCAGATCCTTTATTTTAAAGGATTCAAATCCAGATCTGCATCTAAATGGAATGGATCTTCTAAGCACTGATGTTAAATAACAAAGTGATATTTAGGTACAATTCTGATACGTATGAAAAAGTGGCAAGGAAAATTGAGGATCTTGTGGTAAACATCACTGATTTAGAGGAACACTACCATGTTGAAAGATTGAACACAATGAGAGGAAAATGCTTGGCTCTAACCTCAAAGTGAGTATAACTAGAGTAGCAAGTTGACCTTACTTGCTAAAGTTGTTCTATCATCAGTGTTTTAAGTGGTATTTTGGAGGGAAAATATTTACTATTTTCTGAATTTTATCATTTGTTCAAAAAAGATTTAAATAAATTATGAAAAAGAAACAAGCAAATAACTGGGGGGAGTAAAGAAAAACTGGGTTTAGCGTTGTTTTACAAAACAATATTTAAATGTTTGCAGTGTTCATTTTTTAGCCTTTTAGGTAGAAAAATATTAAAGTAAGTTTCTGGTACATAAAAAATCCGCGAAATAATTTTTTTGGGAAAATTTCGAAAAAAAACTGCAAGAAAATGGTTTTTTTTTATATTTCATTCCGAAGTTTAATAAAAATCTAATGATAAATAGTTTTGAAAAATAGTTGTAGAACAATATCAGTGCAGATCAAGGTTGTATAACAAAGTTGGTAACTCTCTATGCACTTCCAATTTACGGTGAATGCCGTCTCCTTAGCATAGATAGAAAAAAACCTCATATGACGTCACTGAATATAGTGGCGAGTGTGGCGTCATATGAGGTTTTTATCTGTCTTTGCTTAAGAGACAACACTTTCCATACATTTTGTTATAATCATCAAACAATTTTGTTATTCAAAATGTAATCCATAATAGGGCAAATTTGTTTACAGCAAGTACATTTTTAAAGTTTTATTTTTTTAAGATTTGCACAAACAATCAGAACAGAATAGCAAATTTCAAGTAATTTCTGATGACATTTTTTTCTAAAATAAATGTATTCGGATATTATTCTATCTTCAAAGTTTTTTAGCATTGAAAATATTTTAATGTTTTTAGCATCTATATCATGAACTCTGCAAACAAAATTTTTGTGTTTTGTTAAACCACCTTAATCATTAATTTTTTTATTGACACTGTACGTAAAGGAAAAACTAAAATTGTAAGCACAGTCTAATGATTTTAAGAATGAAGATTTCCTTGGAAAAGTCAGCAAAGAATAAATTCCATCCCATCTTATTTAAGGTAAAGTCTAAATTTAATTGAATAACACAGCCTAAAGAATACATGAAAAAACATGGAATTTTATTGCAAAAGAGTGTTAAAAGTACTATGCTATTGTTTATAATACAGACCAAAGTGAATGCAAGATTACACATGCCTGGAGAAGAGATCAGTATTGTATATAATGTGGAGGATCAAGATTCGGTATAATTAATTTCTCACTCTACTCATCAAAGTTTTACTTAAAGGGACTGTAAGCGTAATTTCAAGTGATAAGACACCCTTGAGATCTTCATCTGATCAAAAATGTGAAAGATAACATCGTTTTTCTTACTCAAAAAGTTGTTAATTCTGTGCATACATTTCTCCAGTGTTTCTTTAAAGCATGAAACTTTTGCAGAAAAAGCTTTTAAGGGTATCGTTGTAAATTGGGCATTGTTATCCTTGGTACCAGCACAAACGTCGGACCCACAAACGTCGGACGCCACAAACGTCGGACAGTACAAACGTCGGACGCACAAACGTCGGACCAGTACAAACGTCGGACCAGTACAAAAGTCAGACTAGTACAAACGTCGGACGGGTACATTTATGAGAAAAAACGTTGAACTTGGTAGATTTTGAATGGACCATTGTTTTAAAAAATTTCAAACTATGAATTCTACAAGATCATGCAGTTTAATCCCTATATCTTTGCAACCCGTTGTTGTAGACCTTAGAGATTTCAAACAATGATTTCTACAAGATCATACAGTTTAATCCCTTTATATTTGCAACCCGATGCTGTAGATGTTTCCAAGAACAGTTCGTGGACTTATTGCTATATTTCCAGAGCTTCCTTTGACTACTTGTTTTTCTATTTCACGTACTCTTTTCTTCAAAAGATCACTGACATGTGTATGCTCTCCCAGGAAACTGATAATCTTGTCATTCTCAAGAATTGTTTTTCCTTTGAATGCATTGGTAATAGGTTTTGTTGGGTTTCTTCTTTGTAACCCTATATTCAAACTGATTTAAATCAAGTAGGTGCCCTCCCCCTAGGCTTGACTTCAATATAGTTAGTCTTCTCGCCCATGTATCCAGACGACTTTGTGAGCTTATGAATTTTTAACAAAAAAAATTGGGAATTTTTTTTTTAGAAAATTGCAAATTTACAAGAATTTTAATCTGAAAATTCAAATATATTTTTTCCTCCTTAGTCCGAGGTTTTTCCTTTTAAATGTACCCGTCCGACGTTTGTACTCGTCCGACGTTTGTACCAGTCCGACGTTTGTACCAGTCTGACGTTTGTACTGGTCCGATGTTTGTACTGGTCCGACGTTTGTACTGGTCCGATGTTTGTACTGGTCCGACGTTTGTACTGGTCCGACGTTTGTACTGTCCGACGTTTGTGGGTCCGACGTTTGTACTGGTACCTTATCCTTGCATGGAGGGTCACTTGCATTGTTGCATATTACAATCCCCTAAGATAAACTACAACTCTGTTGTCAGAAAAAATTAGATATTCTAATCAAATATTTTACATTCAAAGATTGAAATTGAGGAGTTTGATGTTACAAACCATGTGTGGTGTACGGCAACCTACGCAGAATGGGATGATTCAGCAACCACAGTAAGTTCCATGATTAAAATTTGTCAGGACAACTGATTGGGTTTTTATATTTTTAATTTATTGTAAAAATGAAGACACAAAAAATCTTTCCTACATTATAGACTTGCAAAGAGTGGGAAACTGATAAAGCCTACTTCAATTGTGTGAAATCAAGTCTTCGAGGGGTAAGTTTATATTCTTTTATGTAAGGTTCAGAACTTAAAGTAAAATATATTTGTAAGCAGTGCTAAGGATCCTGGTCATTTAAGATTTATTGCTTTTTTTAGCAAAAAAATCATTTTTTTGTTGATTTGCTTCTGTTTTTGCTATAGCTCGAAAAACCTTTCAAAGATAAGTAAACTTATATAATAATGTCTCTTTTCTTAGCAGTTCAGATTTGGGTTTGAGGTGCAAAGAGTTTTTTATAAAGTTTTCAGTTGATATTTTTGCAGATTCGAGAAGCCAAATTTTGTTTCAGATCCAATGGATCTGAATCTGGATCCTAAGCAACCATTTTTAAGATAATCAAATATATTCACAATCTAATTTTTTCTGGGTTTTTTTTATTCAGACACTGCTTGAAAATAACTCCAGGTGTAATGTGCATTTTGAAAAGTATGTCATGAAACAAAATGATAGTTTCAGGTAACTCTATAAATGTTTTACTTACAAAATTAGAACTTTCAAATTTGCTATGCATACAACAAGAATACCACCAGAAAGTGTTTTAAAGGGAGTGTTTGCGAAAAATGAAAGGGGTACAGGCTTATGGCGAATAAAAAGCGCTTTTGATTGCTACTTATCTTACTTCAATCAATCTTAATTTGTATGGACGCTGCGTTCTTCAGTATGAGTTATTTTTAACAATTTTCTCCTTATGACCCAAGAGATAGAAGTAAGATTAGTAGCAATCAAAAGCGCTTATTATTCGCCATAAGCCTATAACCCCTTTCAATTCCCTTTACATTCCCTTTAAACCCATGCAGTCAAGATGCTACCTGACCAAGGGTTTGCATACAAATTATGAGTAAGTATATGAATCCCAAATCACAAAAACAGATTGTAAAATGATAATAAATTTTCCATAGACATAGCCAAATTTAAGACTTATTGGTCAGACGTAAAAGAAACCATTCTAAATAAGACTGGTCCTTGAGCAAAATTATTGGGAATTAGTCAGAAAATATGAATCTCTGTATCAGAACATGCTGTGACTAAAATCCAGAATCAGGGAAAGTCAACAGAAGAAAAAGAAAAAAAAAAGGAATGAGGAGAGGAATGATGACAAGAAGAATAATAAAATTAGAATTTTTCTGTATTAACTGTATCCAATTTATAAAATTCTAAATTCAAAAACAGGTGTGACAAAATCACTTTAAAAACCGTAATTTTTAAGAAATATGAAAATATAGCAGGCATTAAGGGGAAATATATCCCTATACAGTTCAAATGCAGGGTTAGATCTGGGCTCTTATAATGGTAGTTAAGCAGTCCCTGTCCCGACTATTCTAATAATTTGAGTGTGTTAATCAAGAAATTTAATAACTGTTCTTTAGAGAATGTAACACTATCGAGGAAGGAATAAAAAGGAAGATACTACTCGACCAAGCAATTCTGAAAATTTTTGACAATGATGATGGAAAATGTCTACCAAGATGTATTTCAAGAGGTTGGAGATTGAAGTAAGAAAAAGCTTAAACTTACATTTCAAAACTTAATTCTTGATTTTTCTAGATGCTCCCTAAGCAGATTTCCACTGAATGACACATTTATAACATCTCTCTGTGGAAGACTCGAAGTTAACAGCCCAAAGAAAACAATCGTAATATGCATAAAAGCTTGTTATATATGTCGTACAAACTTTTTGATAATATTTCTCCTTTTCAAATAACAAAAACAACCTTTTAAATTGTCTCTTGATCATCTGTCCTTGTCTATTGTAGACCTTGTGCCATGAACCCAGCGAAATGATCTCCAAACCACCAAATTAGTAGAATGACCTCTCAACCTTGCCAAATAACCCTAGAGTCCGCCAAATAACCCTTGAGTCCACACAAGCTCCAAGTCCTGCCAAACAAGCTAAGCTCTGAGATCGTCAAACAAACTATGAACCATTAAAAGTCCTATCCCCTATTGACTTACAATCCCAAATTAAGGAGTTTTATCTGATGACTTACAATCCCTAATTAAGGAATATTACCTGATGGTTTACAATACCTAATTAAGGAGTTTTATCTGATGACTTACAATCCCTAATTAAGGAATATTACCTGATGGTTTACAATACCTAATTAAGGAGTTTTATCTGATGACTTACAATCCCTTATTATGGAATATTACATGATGGCTTACAATCCCAAATTAAGGAGTATTACCTGATGACAGAGCTGAATCTAATCGGTGAAGTTGGAGGAATGCTGGGTCTCCTGCTTGGCTGGTCAATCTTAGGTAAATCTTCGAAATTAGATTAATTCTTTCTAAATAATCTGAAATTGCTGAATAATTTGAATTTGCAATCCATCAATGCAATTGTATACTATTCTTTCAATGCAGTTTTAATAGTACTTTAACGGAATTGTTTACTAATCCCTCAATCTAATTGTATAATAATCCCTCAATAAAGTTGTTTACTAATTCATCAATTAAGTTGTATACTAATTCATCAATTAATTTTTATACTAATCCCTCAATAAAGTTGTATACTATGTAAGGGAGTTCCAATTACGCATTTTTAACAAAGAATGTTAACATATTAATCTTAAAAAATGCTGAGTCATGGTTGGAATCAATAATCCATATATAAGAACTCTGCCTAACTAATGCAAAAAAACTCTTAAAAATTGATAGTTGTGCTTTTATGATAAAATTGTTAGAATGTATTTATATGTTTTGATTTTTTGTAAACATCCTGTGTGCACTGTGAGCGCATTTTTTACTTCTAGGCTCACAGTTTGAACCACACCTTAAAACTAACTTTGAAATCTTTAAAAGATGATACCAGCAGTTGTAACCAACCCTTGAGCAGCTCCAGAGTTTCAAACCAACTCTGAATCACTAAAAAACGGATTTTATGATATTATTAAACCTAGAGCCTACATTGAGCAAATGAACAGCTATCCAGATCCCGGATTCTATTTTAAGGAGCTTTTAGCAGCTCCCCTACAGCAGCAGCCTTCAACAGTCCTGAACCAGAAAGCTCTGGGATCTAGGATTCATCTATACCAGCTTCTAGCAGCTCCCTTACAGCAGCATTCTTTAACAGTTCTGCACTAGAGAAGCTCCGGGTTCTAGGATTCATCTATACCAGTTTCTAGCAGCTCCCTTACAACAGCATCTTTTAACAGTTCTGCACTAGAGAAGCTCCGGGTTCTTGGATTCATCTATACCAACTCCCCTGCAGCAATCAACTCCACCATTTAATAACGCTCCCATATATTCCGTAATAAGTTTTCAATAAACATTTTACACCCTCAATAAAGTTGTATGCTAATCCCTCAATAAAGTTGTATACAAATTCATCAGTAAAATTTAATACTAATTCCTCAATAAAATTGTATACTGATCGATCAATAAAGTTGTATACTAATCCCTTAATAAAGTTGTATACTAATCCCTCAATTAAGTTGTATACTAATCCCTTAATAAAGTTGTATACTAATCCCTCAATTAAGTTGTATACTAATCCCTTAATAAAGTTGTATACTAATCCCTCAATAAAGTTGTAGACTAATCCCTCAATGCAATTGTTACTAGTCGCTTGATGCAATTGTATACTAGTCGCTTGATGCAATTGTATACTAGTCGCTTGATGCAATTGTATACTAGTCGCTTGATGCAATTGTATACTAGTCGCTTGATGCAATTGTTTACTAGTCGCTTGATGCAATTGTTTAATAATACTTTGTTAAGGTTCCTGTCTGGATTTTGTTTCCTGTATGTACATGAAAACATTTAAATAAAGGATGAAATACGAAAGAAAGAAAAATTAGAAGACTAAAACTAAAATTCTAACCCTCAGAATTTATTCAAATATTATACTTTATATATTTGAGCACATAAAATAAATGATTGGTGTAAATATATTAAGATTACTTATTGCTCTTTCAAACCAACATTAGGACAACGCCGATAAATTAAATGCTTTGCAGGAAATGAAAGGATAAATATTAAAATACAACGGTTTCCAGTCAGAATTCCGTTACGCGGAATTGCGAGGAAATTGCAGGGCCCACAATTGGGCGCAAGTAAAATACACTTGCGGCGTTGGAAATACATAGATACAGAAAACAAGAAAAACAAAAAAATAAACGGAAGTAATCAAATAAATAATTTTAAAGGGACTGACCGGCTATGTTGGGTAGTTAACCTGAGCATGCAGTATTGTGGACAAATTTGTTAGGATTCATTTGAGACATGTAAAATTTTTTAAAGATCTCAAAATCCTGAGTTTAAGCGCAAAGTCGACGTTCAAAATTAACTCTTAACATCGAAAATAAGTAATTTTATTCAATTATTAGTTTCTATAATCCCTCTTTAATCACAAAGATTTTCTGGAATTTTTATTAAAAAGACGACATTTGAAGAATTTCAAGAAATCTGCAAAAAAATTAACTCTTATCATCGAAAATAAGTAATGATATTCAATTATAAGTTTCTATAATCACTCTTTAATCACAAAGATTTTCTGCCGATTTCTGAAATTTTTATTAAAAAGACGACATTTGAAGAATTTGAAGAAATCTGCGAATAAATTCATAGAAAATAAGAAATTCAATATAATGATGAAAAGGGAAATAATTAATCTTAATTTCTATTTATTGACAAATTTCTTTTGAGAAATATGTTCCTAAACATCTAATTAGTTTACTATATTTTTTGTCGTCGTTATTTAATAATTGAAAAAACCCGATTCTGAAAACGTACCCAGCCAAATTCATGATTTTGAACGTCCACTTTGCGCTAAAACTATGTAATCATACATCATGGAAACGTTTTATATGTCTCAAATGAATCCTAAAGAATTTGTCCACAACACTGCATAATCAGTTTAACTACCTTATATAGCCGGTCTGTCCCTTTAAATTACAATAAGATTGATTAAAAATTTGTGGTCTGACTTCATTTATTATTTGGGACATTTATTTAATGCCATGTGTTCCTCAATATAGAAAAAGGAGAAGAAAGATTTCGAATGAAATTGTTTGCTTTGCGGAAAACAATTACTTTATGACCGCCGCACTAAATAGACTAGCGAAACTAAACTCAATAAATTAACGAACAGTTGAAGAGTTTTTATAAAGCACTTAATTCATCAGTCAGTTGAAGAGTTTCTATGAAGAACATCAATCATCAGACAGTTGAAGAGTTCCTATGAAGAACATCAATCATCAGACAGTTGAAGAGTTTCTATGAAGAACATCAATCATCAGACAGTTGAAGAGTTCCTATTAAGAACATCAATCATCAGACAGTTGAAGAGTTCCTATGAAGAACATCAATCATCAGACAGTTGAAGAGTTCCTATGAAGAACATCAATCATCAGATAGTTGAAGAGTTCCTATGAAGAACATCAATCATCAGACAGTTGAAGAGTTTTTGTAAAGAACATAATTCATCTGTCAGTTGAAGAGTTCCTATGGAGAACATCAATCATCAGACAGTTGAAGAGTTCCTATGGAAAACATCAATCATCAGACAGTTGAAGAGTTCCTATGAAGAACATCAAGAACTCGCAAAACTTTCTCCTCATGATAAGGTCTATAGCCACCACCTGGAACAAATTTCAAATCTTAAACTCTACTTTAGAATCCTTTTCTTCGCACTTTATATAGATTTTTTTTTTAAAAATATGATCTGTAAAAAGCTCATCTAGAAACCTAATCTGGAAACCTTCTATTTTTACAAAATATAGAAACCTAATCTAGACACCGTATTCCGAAAGCTTTTCTGTTATCTAGAAATTTTATCTAATGAACGATATAAAAAAGAGTATAACAAAAAGCTTTCCTGAAAACCTTATCTAGAAACCTGATCCTTGAAAAACTCCTTAAAAACCTTCATATATATACTATCCCTTTTAGTACAGAGCTCAGGATTTTTAAAAAACTTTTTAACGGGTTTAACTCTAAAAATGTGCTCTATACATAACTTTTAATAGTTACAAATTATAAAACCTTCAGCTTTATTCAGCAAGGAACTGCGTCTTACCCACAAACTAAAATTTCTTATCCCTAAACCAATGCAACCTGATAGTGTAAACCTTCGATAATTTAAACTTATATTATTTGATCTAACAGACTTGATAGTTTCAAATATCTAAGGTCTACGGACTACGACATTGGGTTGCAAAAATATAGGGATTGCAAGAGGGAGATTAGTCTAATTCATAAAATGAGTTAGAAAATATCAACATAACATTATTATAAAATAAAATAATAACTTTGTATATCATAACAAAGCAATGAACTGTTGATTGCAAGGCATGCATGAGCTGCAGAGGCAGCGAAGCCTCCCCCCCTCCATCCATAAAATGGTTAGTATAGGGCATCTTGTTTCATCCGTTTTTTGGCTCTTTGGTGACTCTACAAAAATTGAGCTTAAAACTAAAAATTATGCAAAATCCTTATTTAAAGCGAAATAAAGAGTGATGTAAAAATACAATTTTGGAATATTGTGAAGCCTACTGAGAGCCAGATTGTTTAAAATTAGAATCATATTTTAACTTAAAATAATGACAATCGCTGAATAATCTAAAGCTATACCAATGAATAGATCTATACGCAAAGTCGGTAGACGGATATTCACGCATAGCTTCACTATCTGCTTCAGTATACCTTAAAATCAGAGATGGTCATCGGTGGGAGGTAATATTTTAAACAGGTAAAGAGTTTTTTGGCGTTGAAATCACTTTGTTTATTAGATAGGGAGTAAACATATTACACAATGTAATAACAGCAAACTTGTCCAAGATTACAATTTTGAGAAAAGATATGTAAATCTCAGATTAAAATAAGAATAACAGGCCTCAAATCTATGCCTCTCAGTACTTACAATTTATAGACAATTAGTTAAAGGGAGTGTTCGCGAAAAGTGAAAGGGGGTATAGGCTTAATACGATAAAAAAGCGCTTTTGATCGCTACTAATCTCACTTCTATCTGTTGCGTCTATAAGGAGAAAATTGTTAAAAACGACTAATACCGAAGAACGCAGTGTCCATACAAATTCTGAAAGATGCAACATTCAACTCGGATCGTAAACAAATCAATTGTATTCCAAACAAATCATTCAGAGATTACAAATAATAGTCATCGATTATTTTTCGACGCATTCGTAAATAGTTGATATTTCATAATATTTTGTATTTTTCATGATCTAAGAGGTACTTTTGAAAACATTTATTTCTGTTTCGAGGATTTTTGATAATGAAGACGACATTTTCATATTTTCCAGGAATGTTCGAAAATCCAGCACCAGCGAAAATTATTTTTAAAAAACAAAATCAAAAATATTATGAAATATTAGCTATATTCGAATGCGTCAAAAAATAATCGATTTTTTGGGCGAAGATATTTTTCAGTTTTAGTTAGAGTAGAAGAGTTTTTTTAGTACTCAAAAATTTACTAAGAATGTCTCAATGTCTCAATGTCAATAAATAAACTCTTTTGAACAAAACATTAGGAAGTAGTATTATTTTTATTCATCTTCATATTATCATGATGAGGCCGAGGGACAAGAAGCATTGACTTTAAATAATGAATTTTTTCCTTAAGCTGAAGTAGCATTCATGTATTTTAAAAAAAGGGCGTATACAGGGGGGAAGGCAAGAACTCTTGAACTCCCTTGGAGGCAGTAGGGCCCTTTTAAAGCCCTTCAAAATCTAATTTTCCATATACATTAACAATTATTTGATCCCTATTTTAAACCCACATAAATATAAAAAAATTTCTATGGAGGGGGAAAAAGAAGGTCCCCCCCCTTCCCCCTCCTTTGTTTTCTTTCAAAGTCAAAATTTGGCATTTGTAAGTAAAGCAAATGTGTTTTTAAATTGTGTATTCTAAACATGTTCTTTTCGATCTTACACTTTATCTGAATTGCACATTGATGTCAGAAGATAAATGCATGAAAAAAACGATGCAAAAACGATCCAAAATTGCCCGTGTTGTAAGGATCGTCTTTGGATCGTTTAAAAATCTTAATTTTGATGAAAGGTATTGCAAAGTTTGTCTCAGAAAATGAGAAATGTGAATGAATTTGGCGAGGAAGGTATTTTGGAAGTTGAGTTGGGGGAGGGTAGCTTGAGATGGTAGGATATATATAACCAGATATATAAAAGACTTCTTAATCTTTAACCAGCAATATGATGGACTTCTCTCTCTCTAAGAATCGATGTGGTTGCAAATTAAAGAAGTATATATTGATCAGATCTGGTCACATAAAGAATATAGGGTTCTTTGCACTCGCTTTGACCGCGAGGTTGGTACGCGGGTCGAACAGTTCTTTTCTTCTTTGTAGGAGTTACATCTTGAATCCTTCCTCTTTTCTGGTTCTATATCGACTGTGTATAGCCTGCTTTTTGCAGATTGCCAAATGCAGGGCAAATTTAAAAATAGTAATATTTGACAATATAAACACTTTTAGGCTTAAAAAAGATATAAAAGTGAAAACATGAAAACATATTAATAACTTCTGTTTCAAGGGATCTAAACACCCCTTTAGCTAGGCAGCATAATACTGCGTAAAATATTCGCACAGGCTGGTTTTTTGCACAGGCTTATTTCTTTCTAATACTTCTAAAATTCATATTTTCTTGTCCATTGTCATTTGTCATAAATGAAGCATGATATAAAAAGTTTATAGTGTCGTAACTTTTACACAAAATCCAAACTATTGGGATCCCAAACGATTATCAACTAATGTTCAAGAAATTGGGATTAGGCTTGGTTTGGGAATAAGGTATATGAATGAGATAGAACCAAGTGGGAGTAGGTAGAAAAGGTTGGGAA